TCTACCGAGAACACACGGTTGTCTGGAGCAGGACACTCAGCACTGAGGCAGCGTGGTCAGTACCACTTTCTCCCTCGTTTATACATTTAATCATGTATCTACACTCGCATCGGCGTGAACTCGCTGGCTCCCCTTTCCTTAAGGGACTGAAATCTGTCACTACCATTAAAGTAATGCTTCACTGGTCCCGAGAGCCCCTTTCGGGTGTGGCCTCTGTGTCCTTCCGCCACATCCCCATCTTTCTTTGATCACTCTATTACTTTCTGGCACAAGCTTTTCCAAGCTCATTTTCTTCTTTTCCTGCTGTGGCTGTATAATCTCCAGAGAGCCCCAGCTCCTTTTAGTGATGACTGGTGTCTGGGAACCAGGACCTGAGCCCGAGGACTGCTCACGGCCACTGAGGTGTCGCTGCTTGCATTTCCCCCAGTGGGCAGACGCACCTACACACCTACGTCCACATCCGCCATCACGACGTCCAAATACAGTCAAACACACGTGGGTGCCAGGACCGTGTACTGATGTGCCTCGCGGGGCACACGCCCCGTGCAGGGTAAACAACCGAGGTGGGGTCAGAAGCGACACACGGGGAGCGCAGGGACCAGGCTGGGGGAATGGGGCCCGTTCAGGGGAGGAGACCTGCCTGTCCTGGGAGGGGCTCCGAGCTGGCAGCAAGCACAGTGGCTGAGGGTGACCTGTTCTGTATTGGCTGGAGTAGAGGGAGCTGGGGGGCTGGCGGGGGACGGGGGCACAGGTACACGGGGCACAGGTGCACAGGGCCCAGCCCCAAGGCCAGGGGCGCTGGCGGGGGACGGGGGGCACAGGTACACGGGGCACAGGTACACGGGGCCCAGCCCCATGGCCAGTGGCGCTGGCGGGGGACGGGGGGCACAGGTACACGGGGCCCAGCCCCAGGGCCAGGGGGGGCTGGCGGGAGACGGGGGGGCACAGGTACACGGGGCCCAGCCCCAGGGCCAGCGGGGCTGGCGGGGGACGGGGTGGGCACAGGTACACGGGGCCCAGCCCCAACGCCAGGGGTCTGGCGGGGGATGGGGGGGCACAGGTACACAGGGCCCAGCCCCAGGGCCAGGGGGGGCTGGCGGGGGACGGGGGGGGGGGCACAGGTACACGGGGCCCAGCCCCAAGGCCAGGGGGGCTGGGTAAGGGCAGGAGAGAAAGGCAAGGTCTCACTCGCACTGGGCAAGGCTCCCTCGGCCGCCCCACGGACAGGCTGGAGGGGCAGGGCCAGGAGCCGGAGGCCCACGAGGAGGGGCCGCACGCGCCCAGGCCAGCGGGGTGGCTGCTCTGGGAAGTGGGAGCATTTCCAAGGCAGGGCTGCAGGCCCAGCTGCCTGCTCTGACCAAGTGGGAACGAGGCGGGGTCTCAGGGGAACTCCCAGGATGGCCGAGGAAGCAGGACTTCTGTCTGGGCCGCACTACGGCTGGGGTGGAATAGCAAGGAGGCAGCGGGACGCAGGAGTCCTGAGGGCCCTGGGCCTGCATCTGAGGCCCACTTTCCTCTCTGGGCCGGGGAGGACTGCACTGCCCGCCCTCCGTCGGGCTGCCAGGAGGTCCAGGCCGAGGGGCCAGCCTGGATCTCGCCCCGGCACTCTCCCCCCACGTGGGGCTGCCAGGCCACCCAGGACCCTCCCTCGACCCCTGCCCACCTCCAGCTCTGAGCCCCTTGCCTGTGCCCCGCTCCTCCCCAGGTACCAGCAGGAAGGGAGGGTGGGGAGGGGCCTGCCCAGGACCCTGTCTGCCCCCTGGAGGCTGTGGCCTCTCCTCCCAGCCAGGGGGCTCATGCGTTTCTGCGGGGGCTTCCTCAGGTCAGAAAAGCCGAGCTCCACTGCCAGGCCTGCCTCCATCTCACTGGTTTTGTCCTGTGGGTCAGGGTGGGTTTTCCAGATGGCTCGGAGCTGGTGGCCAGCCAGCTGACTGTCTTGGTTGGAAAGGTGCCACGGGCTGCACAGGTGGGGAAGCCGGGGTTCTCGGAGGAACCGACCAGCCACCGGTCCCGGGCCGCCTGCGGACCTCCCCTGGGCAGGCAGTCTGGGAGAGGCTGGGCGGGGACTATGCCCCCGGTGGGGATGCCAGCGGATGAGCAGACACCAGGTGTGGAGCCAGCCTTGCCTGGGACACTAGAGAGAGGGGCTGCTGGCCAGGGCTCAGGTCAAATCAACTGTCAACACGTCTTCCCCCAGGCTCAGAGGTGCCACTGCCCGCCCCGGGCCCACACCCTTCCCGTTTCCCACTCGGGGCTCTCCGTGACTGGCCCCAAGGTGCTCCAAAAGACCAGAACAAGGAAGAGTCCCCAAGATTCAGAGGTCAAGGGTGTCACAGCACTGTGCGTGAGGGGCCAGCAGGGGAAGGATGGAAGGCACACCAAGGCGGGTACCACCCTGTGCATCACCCCCAGCAGCCCAGCCTTGGAGACACAGCCGGCAGACCCCGCACCCATGTCTCGGCCACTGCACCCTCGTAACAGACGTGTGGACCCTCTCAGCGTGCCCAGCACCTTCGCAGACACTGCCCACCTGGCACTCCTTCCCCGATGAAGGAGCAGAAGTGCTCCCTGAGGTTGCCAGTTGGGGCTCCTGATGCCAAATAAACCAAGATCTTCCTCTGCAGCCCCCAGGCCCCACCCTTGGCGGGGGCTGCACCTGGGGGCTTCTGGGGGGAAACGGGGGCTCCTCACCACCGCTAGCCAGCCTCACGGCCTCTCAGTCCCCATGGCCGCCCCGAGCGGACGCTGCACCTCGGCCGGGCCTGCAGGCCACAGCACAGCTGCCATCTCTACCTGTGAACTTGTCCAGCTTTTTTCCCTGCAAGAAAGTTCCCTTTCAGCTGCCGCGCTCCATGCCCACCAGCAGGGCCGGCCTGGTTTGTGTTCAGAAGGGACTCTCAACGATTTTCAGAGCCTTACAAGTCACCACATATGGCTGCTACGGCGTGAGAAAGAAGCAAAACGACGGGGCTTTCTAGAAGGAAGGCCACCGTGCACGCGGCAGGACCGAGTCCTTGCCAGGGTCGATTCTGATCAGAAAGCACTGATCTTCACGCAGGGTCACGGCGAGGCCTCCATTCACTCACCCGTGTGTCCATTCACTCCACAAGCCTGCTCTTTGCCAGGCATCGGGCCGGTGTGTCCAGCCCTGGAGGGTCCTCACTCGGCCGGATGCAGGCACCTGGGCTCAGGGCTGGCTGACGCCGCGCCCGGCTGGACGAGGGTCAGAGACAGGGCCATGCAGAGAAGCATCGTCTCAGCTGCGCGGGCTGGGATGCACCGGTCTGACCCACTTGCTTCGGAATAAATGCCTTCTCTTCTCTAACTGGCCTCATTTCTGACCCTCTGCCCTGCTCCCTCCTCGACCACAGAGCCCTGGCCATTATTTCAGGCAAGGTGTCCGGGGCCCTCAAGGTTTCCACTGTCTTTCCTACTGAGTGAAGAGAGGTGAAGTGGGCTCCCCAAGTCGCCATGGGCAGGTGTTTGTCAGACGATAGCTTTTTTCAGGAAAGAGCTCTTATGGAGACACAGGTTTTGCGAGGAACCACGTGCTGGTTTCAGATGAAACCGTTTGTTTTGCTAGCACATCTCTCCACTTTAGAACCGCGTCTCCCAGTGGCTTTGGCAGGGGTAGATGTTTTCGGTGAGGCTGTGTCTGGTGAGCCGTTTTAACAATATTTTCACCTGTGACTTGGGGTGAGGAGGTTGAGCCTGGCCCGAATGCTCAAGGAGCATTTGGACAGAGGCTCTGTTAAGGCGGTGCCAACATGAATTTTCCCCCTTCTAGGATGTATGGGCCTCCCTGGCTCCCGAAGACCCTGAGCACAGCTCTGCCCCCAGCCCCATACTTCCGGAAGTCAGTCCTGCCCCTCTGTCCAAGTCCTGGCCCGGAGGAACTTGCACTGGGTGGCACCTACAGAGAGAACGGCTGCCCCTCCCACCTCTGGCGATGGAAGGGCTGTGGTGGGAGGGTAGCTAGTGATACTGGCAGCCGCGCGCTGGGGTTGAGTGGAGAGAGGCAGTGTTGATGGGGGAGGTGACAGGGCTGATGGGGGAGCTGGCAGTGCAGGCAGTGGTGCTGATGGGCGGTGGAGGGGGGAGGTGGAGCTGGTGCTGGAAGTGACAGAGGGCGGGGCGATGGTGTTGGAGGTACAGGGTGCCGGCACTTTTCTAGCTGGGATTCAGAGGACAGCACACGGTGCCCCCCAGTAAATGCTCGATGCAGCAATGAGGCGTGACATTGCATTCCCTCAGTGGCCCCGGGTCCCCCCCGGGGGGGGGTTCTGCTGTCCTTCAGCCTGAACTGTCCCCGCTCTCCTGAGCTCCCTCTGGGAGTCCTGTTTGAAGGTCTGGGCCTGAGTGGCCAGCCCCCAGGCTCAGGAGGAGAGGGAGAGGGAAAGGGCGGCTCAGAGAGGACCAGCTTGCTGAGTCTCGCACAGCACCCCTGAAAGTCTGGGCGCGTCCCAGCCTCCAGCAAGTGGGCCTCAGGTGTTAACTGGGGGCGGGGCCCGTGTGGCCCTGGGAGGGGCTGAGAGCTCGGCAGGCCAAGTGAGGAACTGAAGGGGCCAGGAGCCCCACTCGGGAAACTGAGGACCCAGGAAGCAGCCGCCTGCTGTTACACTGCTGTCTGTGAAGGAACCGGGACGGGGCGGGACGGGGCAGGCCTCCCCTCACCCCGCTGCGCTGGGCCCAGCAGGGGCACAAGGCTTAGTGCCCGCAGCCCAAGCCCCAGGCGGTCCGACAGGGGCAGGGGCCAGGGCCGGGCGCGCCCCGCTCCACTCGCCAAGGTGGCCGGGCCGCAGCTCGGGCCCCCAACCCCGCCCGCCGCTCCCGCGGGCCGCTGTCCGGCCTTGGCCGCCGGAGGGAGGAAGCGCTGTCCTCATTCCACCTCTGGCCGCCACGGTGCCAAGTTGCTGGCGGCGGCGGCGGGACTCGGGGCGGCGGGCAGCGGCCGGGGCGCAGCACCCCCCTGGCGCCCCCCGCGGGCTCGGGTTACTCACGTAGAGACCGGAGTGCTCGGCGCCGAAGAACGGAAAGGGCACGGAGAGCGGCCGCAGCCCGGAGCCGCCGTCGTCCTGCTTGGGGGTGACGGCGTCGCCGCGCTCCGCGCCGAACGGGTAGAAGTCGGCTAGGGCCACAGCGCCGCGCACGCCGCGCGCCCCGAGCCCCAGGGCCGCGGCCAAGAGCAGCGCCCAGGTGGCGCCGCGCGGCATCGCCGGGGGTCGGCGGGCGGGGACGGAGCGAGGGACACAGCGGGACGGAACGGGGACAGAGAAGGACGGAGCGGGGGACACAGCGAAGACACAGCGGGGACGGACAGGCGACGAGGAGGGGCCGCAGGGGGACGCAGCGGGGCTTGCGGTCACCGCGGGGCAGGAGCGAGGCCGCGGTCGGGAGTGGCCCGCAGGGCCGGCCGGCCGGGCGTGCGGGGAGCGCGGCCGCGCCGTTGGTGGACTTCGGAGTCCCGCTGCCGGTCGCTGCCGCTCGGCCGGGCCGCGCTCCGGTCGCCTCTCGCGGAGGAAGGCGCCGGGCGGGACCGCGTTCGGAGCCGGACCCGCCCCTACGGCCGCGATTTAAATATCCAACCGGGCGGTCACTCGGGCCTGGGCGGGGCCGGGCCGGGCCATGCAAATTAGGCGGCTCTTAAAGCGCCAAGCGGGGCGGGAGTCTCAGCCCACGGCCCCGAGCCCCCCGGAGGTGGCCTGGCCAGCAAGGAGAGGGCTTTGCGGGCGTGCCCTGCGGCCAGGGCCATCCTCCTCCTCTTCCGTGGGTCCCCAGCCGCCCGTGTGGGGCCGGCCCAGAGGAGGTGCCTTGTCCACAAAGCAGCTCCAGGACAGACCCTCAGGCCTGCGTGAGTTGTTGGGCCTGGGGGCAGGCCTCCTGGGTGTCCTTTCAGGCCCCTGTACCCCAGGGGACCAGGTCACCCTCCTGCCAGCGTGTCGTCGGCCGGGGGCCACCCTGGTGGAGCAGTGCTCGGATGAACCCTTCTGGAAGTGGCCAGAGGCCAGCCTCATGCTGCCCACCCAGCTCTGAGGCTTGCCATCTGGTTGTATGTGAGGAGGACTCTGGCCTGGGCTACTTCAGGGCATTAAGCAGTTTCTGCCCTGCATGGCCACATCAGGAGAAATGCGGGGGGAGATGATTTGGGGGCCTAAGGAAACCTCACAGCAAGAGAAGTCTGGGGCCAACTCCCGGTAAAACAGCCTTCCGTCGGGGAGGCTGGTCCACGCCGGCCTGGGGGCAAGTAGACAGATGCCCTGTGGGTGGGAGCAGGCCCTCGAGTGCCCACAACTCAGATTCTGTGTCTCCAGCCTGTGGCCTTTGCAGCCCTTCTCTTGCCGCAGGAACTTGCTCTCAGAGTCAGACTCTGTTTGTCCTCCACAGGGGGCCAGCATCTGGCCACCTCTGGTCCCTAGGCCCAGAGCAGGGCCCGACCCCCGGGGGCTCTCCACCCTCTCTGCTCTTGGGTGCTGGTGGGGGCTGATTCGTGAGGACAAGCCAAGCCTGGCACCCCGCTGGCTCAGATGCTGAGTGGGGAGGTGGGGGGAAGCCCTGAGCCAGGCTGCAGCATGGTGGTCAAATCATGGCCAAGGTCGGAGGAGGGGTGTGGCAGCCTCACCCTCCTTGGACAGGGAGGGTCCGTGAACCTCACTGGCAAAATCCCGGTGGGGTCAGGACACAGCCTCCAACAGTGCAGCCCGGAGGGCAGAGCTGCCAGCAGGCTGGTCACCTTGGTGGGAGCCCAGGAGGACGTGCTTTTCCATCTGTGGGTTTTCTGTGGGAACCTGACAGCCCTCTGCCGTCTGTGCCGTGGGTTTGGGGCCCAGGGGAAAGCCCTCTCCTGTTTGTTTCCTCAGGGGGGAGGGCAGGTGGCCCCTCCCTGACAGGGAGAAGGGGCAGAACTTCCCAGCTTGCACCAAACCACGGCGGGGGGTGGGGGGGGTGGGCGGGGGGGAAGGTGGGGACAGTGGGTTGTCCAGGCTGACCTCTGACCCCCTCCTAGACTGGCCCACCCCCTGCAGGGGGTGGGAGGGGGCACACGCCCCATCCTCCCCCCAGCTGCACTTTCCTTCTCTGAGTAGGCCGCCTAGGCCGAGGAGGTCCCTCCGGTGCACTGTTGACCTTCTCCTGAGCACATGCCTCAGGGGACCCTAGTAAAGGCTCTCTTCTGGGTCCACCTGGGGGCCTGTAGGGGGCAGGGCTGCCCCAGGGGCCCGGGGCACACAGTGGTGCTCGGCAGGCAGACCTTGGGTTGCGACCCCCAGCGAGGCTGTGCATTTCCAGGCACAGGCCTGCTGACCCTCCACGGCCCTCACCCTGGGCCATTTGCAGTCCCATTTGGGAGACTGGGGGTTAACAGGAGGCACCACCATGCTGGGTATTACATTCAAACACACACACACACACACACACACACACACACACACACACACAGCTCCACAGGCGAAAAAGAGAAAAAAAAATTTTTTTTCCAGGTGCTAAAAATATTATCAGGAAATACTTTTCAGCAATGTGCTGTTTCAGGTTCCCCTCCAGACTCAAGGGTGCCTTTGTCTTGGCCACAGAAAGTCCACATTTATCAAAACCAAAATCGTTTTATCAAGCAGGCTCGTGTTCTGCGGCCAGGAAACCCGAGACTCCCCAACAGGCCTGTGACATTTTAATTTAGGGCCTGAGTGTGTATGCAGTTTAGATGGGGAGCCCCGGAGCCGACCTCGGGAAGCCCCAGGACCCCGTGCCGGCCAAGGTGGGGAGCGTTTCCCCCACCGAACCTGGCCTGGCCGGCTGGTCCCTGCAGGGCTGGGACGGGGGCTCCAGCAGGGCTGCTGGTGGTGGAGGCTGCCTGGCTGCACCCCCCTCCCACTCTCTCCTTCCCACCCGCCCCGAGCACCTGGGGCTTCCACGTAGGTGAAACCCCAGGGAGACCCCTACCTGCTCCGGGAATGAGGTCAGGAGGTCACAGGGCCTGGAGGGGCAGGCAGGATCTGGCTCTTGTGGAGGCCCACCCGGCGTGGTCACTACACTGTGAGGATGGATGGGGCCTTGGTGCAGCTGGTTCACTGCGGCAGAGATGGGGGGCCCTGGTTCAGGGTACACAGCAGTGCACACGTGGGTGCGGGCGGCCATAAGGCTCTCACACGGAAGCCACACGCTTGCCATTCGAAATGTTTAAGAAAACAGCAGTTTATCTCCATCAGAAAAATCCTTTCTCCTAAGTATACAACTTTATGTTGAACAAGTAAAAACAGCGTCTCCTACACTGATTGAACTTTCATTGAAATATAAAAAATCTTGCGTCTCCCGGGAGCAGTCTGGGCAAGGAGGGTCCAGAAATCACCAGCAAGAACATTGATCAAATAGCGCGTGGCCCTCATTTCAATGTTGAGAAATCTTTCCGACCCCTTTTGCATCTGGGGTGTATTCCTCTTTCATCTGTGCACATTTACTAGGCACCTCCTCTGTGCTGGGAGATTCAGTCCCAAAGGTGTGACGCTGAGACACCAGTGGTCACCAAAGAGAGGCAAGTGTTGACACTTTCCAAGTGTCAATCTCCAGATTCTGGGTCCTTCCTCCCCACCCCCCAACCCTCAGGCCCTTCCTCCACAAGGGAGCTGCCCACTGGGTCGTGGGGTCGCCGGGTCGAGGAGGAAGGGAAGGGACTTGCCTACTAAATGCCAGGCCTTGAGCATCAGAGCTGTGTGTGTCTCACGGCCCTACCCTTCCTGTCTGTACCAGGCTCTCCAATGGTGGGGGCAGCCGCTGGGTTGCTATGCGTTCCAATGGGCTGCTGCAAGCTGGTGAATACCTGGGTGCGAGCACCACCACTAACGCCTCCTTCGCCCGGAGCAGCGTTGTTAATGGGTCACCATGCTCTTCCCCTCTGAGTCTGGGCTGAACTTCAGAATCCTTCTCAACACAGCCACCAATAATCAGGCAGAGCTGACAGGCAGAATGAAACCTATTTTTTGTGCAGTTCACAACATATGGCAACTTCGTTGCTAGGTTCAGTCAGAAAGGAAGGCCTGACAGGACAGCCTATTTTAAGTGCGGGATCGTGATTGGAATGGGTGGGCTCCAGGAGCTTTGGCCCTTCTCACCCCCATGAGTCCTGGAGGGAGGAGGTGTTTGGGGGTGGTGGCTAGCACCTGCGGACGCAGGAATTTCCTGGGCTGGCTGGTGCCCCGCAGATGTTGTAAACACGTCACTTACAAAACAAAAGAGGCCATTTGGAGAGGAAACAAATCACTCTGACCAGTGTTCATGGGGGGGAAAAGAGAGAAAATGCTAACAGGTGAACCAGGCATCGGCCTAAGATGGCTGCCTCGGTCTCCGTGGCAACCAGGGCTGGATTCCCCCAGGAATTTTCCCAGAGTTTATAGGCTGGGAAAGTGGGTGGTTCTCTAACAACTTTAACGTTTACATCCTGATGCCTCTCACGGGCAGTGAGTCACGGGGCGGGGAGCACGGGGGGTGGGGTGGGGGGTTGGGGGGGACTGTACTCTGAGTCACTTGCAGCCACCTGCCACCGTGACGGCCCTGCAGTTCCTGGATACGGAGGTCTTGCCGCCTCTGTGCGCAGGGATGTGGTAGCTGGGCCCTGCGGGACATTATGTTTTTGGCTTCAGTTGGTGGAAATGTTTTCCACGTGTTTCCCCATGTTTACAGAGCTGAGGGCACGGAATGCAGCCCGTGGCTGCGGAAGCTGGCCTGCTGGGGCCTGGCCGCCGGGGTCTGGCCGGGTCAGCACATCCACATCGGTGCCAGGGCCGATGCCGGCCGCGGGAGGCTCCGTGCAGCCGGGGAGGGGCGCGTCGGAGAGCAGCGGCCCCGGAGCTCGGGCCACGCCAGCCGGAGGCGGGGGTCCCAAGGGCTGGGGGAGCTCTGTGGTCAGGGGATCAGAGGGTGCCCACTGACTCGCGGCACGGGTGGTGGCTTCCCTGGCCCGGTGCCCCTCGAGCTCGGCCCCCCGGCTGAGCAGCACGAGGCGTCGCTTCCCCAGCAGCGGTTCTGCTGCCGGGCCGGTCAGGGCAGCGGCAGCCGGGCCACCCAGGGGTCGGGAGCCGGACTCACTCCTTGGCCTGGAAGGCCTGGCCGAGGCGGGCTCGTCGCCGCTGCTGCACTTCCTGGTCCCGCGGCTCCTTCAGGCTGGCCACCTGGGGACAGGGCAGGAGCTCAGGCGGGCGGGCGGGCCCCGTGGCTGAGCTCCGTGACTGGAAGGGCTGGGAGGCCGCGGTCCACGGCTCCCAAGGGGGCGGTGTGCGTGGAGGGAAACCCCGGCAGACAGACTCACCAGAGGCCAGATGGGGCGTGCAGGGCCCCACCTCTGATCAGGGTCCCCCCCCCCCCCCCCGTGGGCTCTTAGGGACCCGGGTGACCACCACTCACAGTGGGTGGACCTCCTTCCACTCAGCCATGAACACACTCAGAATAATGAGGAAATAATGCTCCTGGGCTTATAAATGGAGCAAACGTGGCTTGGAGGGTCAGGGACACCAACTCAGGGTGGCAGTGGGCCGTCACTTTATGTCTCTGCGTCTCAGTTCCCTCCTCTGTTCCCTCATCGAGCAGCGCCCCCGAGGCAGAGAGCTGGGAGCCCGCGGGGCAGCCCCGGCTGGCATGTCTGTGTATGTGTGCGCGCACGTGTGTGTCTGTGTGGGCGTGTCTGTGCACATGCATGCGTGGGGGGGTGTGGTCAGCACAGGCACACACTCAAGGCTCTGTGCTGCTTTGTTACTGCCCCGCCCCCCCCGTGCGCTGCTGCCCGCGTCCCTGACTCCGCAGGACAGCGCAGCGGCCACCGCCGCGAGGACTGCCACGCGCCAGGCACCATCTGGACTTTTCACACTCAGCAGCCACCGGCTGAGGGACTGTCTTCACCCCTCTTTATGGGGGGCGATGGCGGCACGGAGAGGGTGGTGACCCGCCCAGAATGCCCCTCCGCCCCTCAGTGAGGCGTGGGAGTGACGGAGGGCAGTGTGGGGTCCCGTGGGGATGGCCTGGAGCCCACCGGGCAGTAGCGCTGCCGGAGGACCTCGGGCTGGGGCCAGGCGGGCGCAGGGACCCTCCCCTCCCTCTGCACCCCCGCCGGGCGCTGGGTCCCCGCCCACCTGCTTCTCCAGCACCTTCACCCGCTGCCGGTGGTGGGTCCTCTCTCGGGACGCCAGGGCCTGTGCAGCCTGTACATGGGCCCCGTGCAGCCGCTCGGCCTCCACCACCAGGTCTCGCTGGTGCTGGGCGGCCAGCTCCTGGAGCCGCTGGGCATAGGAGAGACCCCAGGCACCTCACTGTGGCCTGCCCACCCAGGGCTGCGCAGAGTCCAGGGACAGGCGCGTCCAGCCCTCCCCTGGGGACCCCCAGTTGGCCCGGCTGCCCTCTGCTGGAGCCCGGGGCCTGGCCAGGACCGGAAGGTGAGCGGAGGGTTTCGTAAACACATTCGGCCCCCGGGCCTTGTCTGCTCCGGAGCCCCACCCACAGGCCGGCAAGGTGAGCCTTACATCTGTTTTAATGGCATCCTAGTTTCCACTTGGCTGGACCGGGGGTCCCAGAGGCATCGCAGGCTCATTCTTGCCCCCACCTCCCTTGCCAATTCCTTGTCTGGCGATAGAGGGTCTGTCCAGTGGTGAAAGGGGAGATACCCCAGAACACACGGGAGCAGCCCCTGGACCTGCCTGTAGGCCTGCCTGGCCCTGTGTTTCCCACACTCCCCCCCCTTCTGGTCCATGCACTGGCTCACGGTCCCCTGATGGTCCCCCCACTCCCACGGGGCCCATGGAGCCCTGAGACCTGAGGTGTCGCCCTGGTGGACCCCTTTGTTGTCTGGGGCTGCGTCTCAGCACCTGTTCTGTGTAGGAGTGGTCCAGCCTGCCCTTCCCATCTGGGCGTGTGCATATGTGTGTCCAAGCACGAGACAGAAGCACTGGGACCCACACCCACCCGGACACCCCCAGCCCCAGGCCCCGGCCCACTCCCAAGACTGGGGTGCATGGAGCCCAGCTGGTTTTGCCTCAGGGCCCTGTCCGCTTCCTGGTGCAGGCAGGTATGGTCCAGCGGCTCCTTCTCGGCCCCCGCCCTCACGTTGTCCCCTTCCCTCCTCAGCTCGGTCTACAAGAGCAGAACCTGCCACAGTCTCTGGCGGGGGTGTGAGCTCAGGCCAGCCTTTTCCCTGGAGAGCACGTGAGGTGCCCCCGGGAGGGGCTCTGGATCCCCTGAGAGCTGGCTGGGTCGGGGGAGGGTGCTCCCTGGCCAGGATGCCCAGTGGCCTGGGCCATCCAGCATGTGGGGCTGCTATGAGAGTGAGGGGGGACCACCAGTCACGTTGCTGTCCTGCTTTGGACCAGCTGCATCTCCTGGTACCTCCAGGCCCTTGCAGCGCCGCTCCCAGCCTCAGGGAGCCTCTGCGCGCTGCATCCTGGCGCCCCTGCACCTCAGCGCCTGCAGCCGGCTCACAGGCCCCAACCTCTCCCTGACCAGGTCCCAGCCAGCCTGTGTCCTCTGTGTCCCTGTCCCCACAGCCCGTCTTCCTTGGAACGGCCCGCTGCTTGAGTACAGCCCCCTCCTGGCCCCCATCCTCACCACGCAGGCATAGGACGGGGGGGAAGAACTGGGGATGAATGTTGGGTGACCAATGAAACAAACACTTTTGGTGGGAAGGTTTGGGGGCTCCTTTTTGCCCCCTTGTGGATGGTCCCTTTGGAGGCAGGAACTGACACTCAGGGCAGGCCTGGCCCGTCAGCCACTGGGGCAGGATGGGAATCTGGGCCCCAGACCAGACCTGTCCACTTCCCCAGCTCTGGGCCGGGCGGGACACTGGTCAGCCCCAGCCGCTGGAGGCCCAGGCCTGTCCTCTTGCCCTCAGGCTGGACAGGGCCTGGTCTCTCGGGGTGCCCTGGGACATGGCAGATCGGTCTCGAGCGCAACGTGACGGGGGCAGTGTCCAGCGTGTTACAGAAGGAGGGAACCCTTTCTTCTTCAGGACTGAGGAAAACAAAGGGTGCCCCTCCACTGAGAAAGGAAGTCCTGTTTCTTTAAAAATCCAGTTACACTCCTGGGCGTGCATGTTAAAAAGAGAAGAGAAAAGTGAAATCCAAAGTAAATAAACGGCCGCATCCGGGTTTCCCCTCCTGAGACACCAATAAAGGGTTTATGGGTTTTCGGGCCCCTCACAGCTGACCTCCTGGAACTCATTAGCTGTTCCTCCCCTCCCCCATCTGGGCTCCAGGGACCCACGGTTGGCTCTGCTGCCCGGGGCAGTGCCATCTTGGCCTCCCAGCCCCCAGGCCCCCTACCCCGAGCGGCCACGGGAGCCCTTGGCTTCCCCAGCTTGGCACTGGGCCTGCCCTTCAGGAGAAGCTGCAGGGTCCTGGTGACCATGCCCGGCTGGACAACCCTTCTTTGTGAGAGGGCAGGTGGCCTTGTGTGGACAAGCTGGCCGCTGGCTCTCAGTGACCTGATCTGCTGGCCTCTGTGCCTCCGTCCTGACCCCAGTTCTGTCCCCAGGGTCCCTGCCTTCCATGGCCACCCCACTGACCCGGCCACTTTCCTCTGGAAAACCGTCCTGTCCCCGAGCCCACCTGAGCTGGACAGTGTGCACATGGTGGCCAGGGCCTGCCCAGGACACGTGTCCCCATGTGCTTGGGGACACGTGACCCGGGTGGCGGCTCTCCTGGAGGCTCCAGGCCTGGCAGCTCCTCGCCGGGCGGGACCTTGCTGTCCTCCCTCGGGGTCCGTTGGTCAGTCTTCTCCGGAGCCTGCCCTCCGCGCTGGGGTGCCGCCGTCACCCCCTGTGGGGACCCCACTGTTCCTAGCTCTGCACTTTGCTCCTGACACAGTGAAACACTCTCTTTCCTGCCCCTGCTGTGGCCGGTGGCCTCTGCCTCTTCTCTGGCCCTGAGCCTGTCCTTTTCACCCCTTGCTGGTGTCCACACGCCCCGCCCCCCCCGACATCTTTGCCCTCCAAGTCTGAGAGCCCTGGGCACTGTCACCTCACCACTCGTCCCAGCGGCCACGACTGTGTGCTGGCGAGGCCAAGCCTGGCCCCTGTGGTGCCCAGGCCCTCCTGCCCTGGGCTGCACGGCCCAGACAAACCCCGCCCCCGCACAGAGCCATTCTGCGCAGGACCTGGCAGGCAGATGGCACAGTGACAAGCTCAGGGATCCACTGGGCCTGAGGCGGCCCCTGCAAAGTCCATGGGCTGAGCCATGTAACACGGACCCTCCACCTCCCTCTGAGAAGCCCTGGCCGGACACTGCCGCCTGGACCTACCGTGAGGGACGAAGCTTCCCTTCTCGGCCCAGTTCCCTTTACACAGCTGAGCCCAGGCTGGCAGGGTCTACCCACACCTCCGCCCAGGGCCAGTGTTGCGGTGCAAGGGACAGCAGCTGTACCCGGTCATCCGTGCCACGCTGGGAGGGCTGTGTCCCGGGAGTCCAGCTCCCGGCCCCAGGGGACAGGCAGCGAGACCTCTGCCCAGGTGTGCTCACACAGCCTCCGGCCACCACCTGTCAGGCCGCCCGGGCAGCAGGACCTAACCATGCCCTCGCCCCAGAGAGGCCTTGGGAAGGCTGCCCTGCTCTGGGGTCCAGGACTGAGCCCCTAGCTCTCCCCACTGCCAGGACTCCTGCTTCCCCCACCCCCCCGCTCAGGTGGGGACACTGAGCCTGAAGGGATGGGTGCCTCGGGTGCCTGGTCACCAGCCCAGCGCAGGCTTTCCACCTACTGCCCGATGGTTTGTCTTCCCTCTGGACTCCCTGTCCTGCCCACCCCTGGGGGTGTTGAGAGGGCATCAGAATCCCAGGCCCAAAGCCCAGCCTCGCACTCCGCCGGGGTCAGCTGGATGGGTCGTGCCTGTTCCTACGGGGCAGAGGCAGGACATCGAGGTCAAGGGAGCTGCCTCTCAGGCCACGTGACCTGGGAGGTCCCTGCACACAGCAGGCCTGCCGGGTGGGTCCACAGAGCCATAGCTGGGGTTGGGGCCTGGGTGGCATTCTGCCTGGTTCCAAGAACATCATTTCCTTTCACTAGCCTCAGTTTCCCCATCAGTTAACCTGGGCCCCAGGAAGATGCTCTGGTGACCCCAACCCCTGATTTCAACCCAAATACCTCCACTTTGGCCCGTTTCATACGTGGAGATGGTCCATTCACGCCTGGGGACAGTTCAGCTGTCAGAATCACTGACCAGTGGGCCCCTGGGCCTCCCTGCCTTTCGCATCCTTTCTGCCCGTCTCTGGGCCGGCCCGTGCCCTGTCCTGTCCTGCATTCATTCAGCCTCTTTGGTTGGTTCTCTGTCTTGCACCCCAGCCCGTGTTGGGTCTGCAAGGGTGACGAGACAGGGCTTCCGGCACTCTTCCTGGTCTCTGTTGTGCGGGCCTACACCTACCCTCCCATTGCTCCCATCTGCAGGGCACCCCCTGAGCCTTGGCTATCTCCACCACGGACAGGGGAATCTGGGCTCCAGAGGCGGGCAGTGTGCCAATGCCACACAGCTCCAGGCAGGACTGGCGCTCAAACACTGGGAACAACGCCGCTTGTGTGTGTGTGTGTGTGTGTGTGTGTGCGCGCGTGTGTGTGTGTGTGCGTGTGTGTGTTTGCCATGACCTGTGGTCCTCCCCCGAGGACAGCAGAGGTAGAGTTGGGGTAACATCACCGGAGGGCTGTGGAGGTCCACACGGTGACCTGCCAATGCCAGGCTGACCCTGAGCTTGGAGTCGGGTGGACAGGCCCAGGGCGGGCATACTCCCCACTGGCAGCTTGGGACACAGAAGCCCATCCAAGCCCGTGCCTCCCCAGCCCCCCAGCCCCTGCCTGGACGCCCGCGAGGCCCTCCCCATACCCCCGCCTCCCCACCCCCAACTCTCCAGGGACCACCCTTCCACCCCACCCCCCTCTTCCGGGGACCATCCACCGGATCCGGGTACCTGGGCCCGGTGCACCGCGAGCTCCCCCTGCAGGCGGGCCGCCCGGGGCGCAGCGCGGCTGCTCCTCCCGCAGGACACGCCTCTCCGCGCGCTGCGCCCGCCGCCGCTGCCGCCAGAGCACGTGGGCCGGGCAGGGGCCGGGCAGAGGCCGCGCGTAGGCAGGTCACTCCGGCCTGAGGCTGAGCCCCCGGCTCGGCTGATTATTTTTCCCGGAGCTGTGTGTCCACAGTCCACCTTCTGTCGTAGGGGCGCCCGCAGTGGAACAGGAAACCAGGGAGAGGCCTTGGGGCTCTGACTCCCTGCGTGCCCCTCCCGCCTCGGTTTCCCCTCTGTCAGCTGGGGATTGGACGCGTCTGGGTGACTCCAGGCCTGACACCTGCCTCCAGCGTCTCCCTGGACTCCCCTTCACACGGAGGGAGCGATTCCTAAAGGGAAGGCAGGGCCCTGTCCCCCCGGGGCCCCTCACCTGCTGCAGGGCCTCCCGCACCTGCGCTCCAGGGGGGCGACCTTCTCCTCTAGCAGCGCCCCCTCTGGGCCAGGCCCTGCCTGTGCCTTCTGCCCTCGTCCAGGGCCTGGTGCCGCGTGTCCAGTGCTTCTGGAAGAGGGAGGCACAGGCCGCCTGGAAGCACGGCCCGGGGTGTGCTGCAGGTGAGGCTGTGGCACCTGGCGTCTGACCAGATCACGTGCAGTGGCTGGGAAGCAAAGACGCAAGAACAGGTTGAGTGCCGTGTGCACGGATCGGGCAGTTTCCGATGTAACCACGGGCGGGGTGGGAGGGGTTCTAGAAGCAGGCCTTGTTGGCCCGGCGGCGTGGGCAAAGGCGGGTTCTCCGCTGTGGTCAGAGTGGCTCAGAAGACACATCTGTTTTCCCTGCCCTGCTTCCAGCCCTTGGAAGAAAGACCGCGACAGTCCCCCCAAGTCCTCCCAAGCTCCCGGGGCGGGTGGGGCTCAGCCCCCACGCCCTCCACCTGCAGCCTTCTTCCCCTGTGCCCACCTCGTACCCCCGTGACTCAGGCCTCCCCACCCCTGCTGCCCGAGCCCGGAGTGCTGCCGGCCGCCCCCCTCTTCCGCTGCGCCGCCCCCTCCCTGTCACCCCTCCTCTCTGAGCCTTCACGAGGACGGCGCCTGTGGTGTCCCCGGGCTGGAGCTGGTGCACGGTGGGGCCTGGGGATTCTCAGGAGCACACGGATGCCGTCCTGCCCGCGAGTGTCTGGTGGGCAGGAGGTGGTGGTGACCTTTGGTACAGAGCACTCTGGAAAATCAGGAGCCGCGTCCAGCCCATTGCGGGGGCTGAGCGGGGGGCGGAGGAAGGCAAGTTGGGGGCCCCGGGATTGTCCATACGGAGCCTGCGGCGGCTTGGGCTCAAGGAGCCAAGAAGTGGAAGAAGGCGCCACGGAATGGAGAGGTAGCCCGAGGGCTGCGTGGTGGGTGAGGGGCAGGCAGTGCCCCGAGGGCTCCCAGGCTTGGACTGCGTGCGGGGTGTCCGGAGCCCACTTGCTGGGATGGGAAGGTGGGTGTGGGAACACGTTGAGGGGTCTCCCGGGGGTCACTGCGCCGGGGGCAGTGTCACAGGACCAAGTGGCTATGGAGGCCCTGGCACCGAAGGCCAGGGAGTGGGGGGAGGAGGGGTCCAGGCCAAGTGGACTTCGGAGCAGAGAAAAGAGGAGACTGGGCCCAGGGAGGACCAGAGAGCTGGCGGAGATCGGAGGGAGAGGTCGGGCCCCTGTGCGGAAAGCTCCAGGGGCTCGGGTAGACATGGACCCAAAAAGCACCCTTTGGAAGGGACCAAAGTTGCTGGTGATCTCTGTGTCTGTGTGGGTCCCGGGAGGTTGCGGTGCTGACGGTCTGGGGAGAGGGGGAGGGGCAGCCCTTCCAGAATCCTGGCTGGGGGAGGGGAGATGGGGCCAGCAGAGAGAGGAGGGGGTGTGGGTTGTGGCGGGCAAAGAGGTGCTTGTTTAGGAAGAGGGAGACTGGGTCTAGAGCCAGAGCAGGAACGCCTGAAGGCACAGGGACCCCCGAGGGCCCACCCAGGCTCAGCCCTCAAGTTTCTGGGTCTCGGCCAGCAAACACGTGCCATTCACAAGGACCCAGCAGTTGTGTCCCGGGAGCCGTGTGTCTAAGGGGGCTTTGCATCCATCTCCCACTCCGTTTTCACTGAATACAAGAGGAGGACTGGCTCAGAAGAAGAGGGGGAGCAACCGGGCACCCCCGTCCCAGGCTGGGTGAGGGCGGGACAGGTGTCGTGACCCTGTAGGAACTTTTTTGGGTCTGTCAGTTTAGAAAGTTAAAGGAAAGGGAGGGCAATGCTTGTACCTAAAATTGAGGTTTCACCCTTCTTTACAATTTTGGAAATTACAGTTTTCTGTTTGTACACATTTTCCCGTAGAAAAGCAGAAGTTTCCTTCAAATATGGCTTAAATATTTCATGGTATTTTAAAGAGGCTCCAGACCACTCGTGTGAAGCATTATGCTCCTCTTGTAGTGACTCAACGTTTATGGAATTCAAATGAACCATAATAATTGAACGGGGCACCCTTTATGAACATCTCCCTTTGCCCCACTGAGTCAGTCTCATTGCTGGCTTGCTTTGGTTCTGAGCCCTGATCCTGAATGGGGGGCGGCTGGCCGTGCACGCGTCACAAGCCTGTGCTCAGCGCGGGGGTTCAGCTGCAGGAGCGCACGAGGCTTGACCGCCGGCTTCTGTGGTTCCACCCCGGGCCTGGGGAAGGAGGCAGGGCTCGGCGCGTGCCCTTGGGCCAGCCCCCAGCCTTGGTTTCCCCCTCTGCGGATGGGTGTGATGCGATCTCACAGCGTTTTCGTCGGGAGCATGAGAAGGACGGGAGAAGAACTGTGAGGACCACCCCTCCCCCCGCCCCCCTGTATGGGGGCTGCTGTAAAGTGGGGGTCTGTAGAGGCTAGAAATGCCTCAGGCACCAGCACAGCAGGCGGAGGCAACGTTCCGCACCCTGCCTGTTGCACAAGAGCAGAGCCTGCCGCCAACCCCAGCGCATCCTTCGGAGTTCAGGTCCCCAGCCTTTTCATCCACTGGCCACAATGGATCGATTTGTTCATCGGCTGGCAAGTGTCCAGTGTGGGTGAGCGCTGGGCAGCAGTGCACGGCCACCTGGCCCTGCCCTCTGGGAGCCTCGCAAGCCCTCTGGCCGGTCACAGGACAGAGCTAGCGCTGGGAAGTGCTCCAATATAAGGGGACCCAAGCGCCTTACTTTACACAGTGGGCCTCAGTAGCCCAGACAGGAGGCTGGGATCTGGTGCCGGTTAGGGACAGCTGGAAACTTCTGGACTCTGCCCTGTCCTGCTTGCCTCTTCGTCCACCCTTGTGCCAACCCCTGCTGCTTTGACCACGCTACTGTTACAGTCAGTATTACGATACTATTTCAAAAATTTCTTAGAAAATCTCAAACATCTATTCTTCCCTGTAAACTCTGCAATCAGCTTGTCCAGTTTCCCTCCAAACATACCACAAACAAATAGACAAAACCGAACCAAGAAAGCAAACAACTGACAACCAAGAAACAACCGACAAACCAGGAACATAAGCAAAGATCCACCCAGAAGCTGATCAAAACATTATAACTGCCCCAAAGGCAGCCCCCTCTCCAGTAAGACGAGACACAGCCGCAAGAAGAGGCGCAGCATTTATTCTTCTAAACAACCTTTGAATTAAAGAAGAAATAAAAGCGGAAACTCCTAGAGGATTGGTAAGAAAGGAAAAGAATTCATGTTAAAAACCTTTGGGGGGCTTCCCTGATGGTGCAGTGGTTAAGAATCCACCTGCCAATGCAGGGGACACGGGTTTGAGCCCTGGTCTGGGAAGATCCCACATGCCGCGGAGCAACTAAGCCCGTGCGCCACAACTACTGAGCCTGCGCACTAGAGCCCGCGAGCCACAACTACTGAAGCCCACACACCAAGAGCCCGTGCTCTGCAACAAGAGAAGCCACCACAGTGAGAAGCCCGTGCACCGCAACGAAGAGTAGCCTCCGCTCCTCGCAACTAGAGAAAAGCCCGCGCAGCAACGAAGACCCAATGCAGCCAAAAGTAAATAAAGCAACAACAACAACAACGTATGGGGGCACATACCAAACCACAACGAGGGAAAACACAATAACATTGAATGCTTTTACTATTGAAAGAGTAAAGCCCAGACATAAATACAGCACCGTGCAACTGAAGAAATCAGAAATATTACAACAACAAAGAGTGTGTCAATAGGGATAAAAGCTGAAACGAATAAACCACATGAAAGGAGAAAAGAGATAAAAGTTGATTCTTTGAAAAGACCAATAAAACAGATGAACTGTTGGCAACTTAAAGAGAGACAAATAAAAATCTCCAACATCAGGGACAGAAACAGATCTAACTATAGATATAAATAAGATCTAACTACAGGTGTAAAAATGAAAAATGGCTGCCAAACATAAGAGCGAGTTCCTGGCAGCGCACTTGAACATGAGATGGGTGACTTCCAAATGTCCAAAACTGACCCCAGAAGAGATAGAAAAACTCAGAGACAGCGAGGGAAAAGCTGGGAGAGGAAATGAAAATGTGTTACTTAAGCTGACAGGAGGGGCAGGGCATTTGCAGGTGAGTTCAATGTAACCTTTCAAGAAGGCTTAACTCCGAGGCTATTTAGATGATCCCAGGTAGTAGAAAGAGATGGAAAGCTCACCAATTCCTTTTATGAAGATAAAATACTCTTAACACACAAAAAATCTGACAAGTATGGTGCCCTAACGGAGCACAGACATTCTTGGACAAGTATCAGGAATGCGCTCCAGCCACAGCGCGCCCAGAAGGCCGAGCGGCTCCCCACTTCGCCTCTAGAACCTGGACTGAAGCTGGATTTGGGCCCTGGGGGTGAGCTCTCTGGAGAGGAGGGGAGGGTGTGCGAGGGACTGTGAGGTGCTGGTGGACGCCGTGAGCCCCTCTGAGCCATCGAGGCTGTGACCTGGCGCTGGTCCGAGGACAGCCTCGGGCGGTCTCTCCCAGTGGGCGGGCGCCAGGCCCCCCTCCGCGCCTCGCCTGCCGCTGGCTCAGGCCCCTGCCAGCTGCCTGCAGGCCCCCCAGGGGCTGTGTTCGCGCGTGTCCTAACCTTGGGGCTCGGTTCTGCATTGTTGATCTATTGAATTCCCAGGGTAGCCCTGGAAACAGGGAGGGATTTGCTCTCAAACAAGAATCTTACTGTTTGCATAGCACAGCCTACCATTTAATTAGAAAAATATGTTTTTAATTAACTTTCTCTTGACAAACACATTGGCTTATGTGAAACGAGGGAAAAATCCAGTCCATGAGAGTGAAAGATGTTGTCAAATGCAAGCCTCGCTCTAGCTCACGCTGGCCGCCTGGCAGCCTGGCCTGGACGTGGTGCAGGCAGTGGGCGGCAGGCGGTGTGGCCACGTATCCTGAGCCCACAGCGGGCTGGAAACGCTGCAGCCTGGGTTGGCTGTGAGTGGAGAGTGCCCGGGGCCTCCGGTGACTGAGGTGTGTCTGAACCCCCTCCCGGGCGCCCACTGCAATGACCAACAGGTTACAAAAATTGGGAAAGACTTCCCTCAGCTGGAGACCAGGGACTTTGAGGGTTCCCAAAAGATGGAGAGCACATGGAGGCAAGTGGCCTAAAAATAGGATAATTGCGAATTGCCAGAATTCTTAGAAAAATTGGACAAACGATGGATAGATTCTAGCACACACAGTTTGCTCAACACTTGATCAACCAGAAGAACGAACAGGGGTAGAGAATACGTGAACAACTTCCAGCAGAGCCGTCTGCGCCCCGTGTGGAGACCCCACGTGGGCACCTCAGAGGCCGGGGCTGGAGGGGGCAGTGGGGGTGTGGAGGGGAGGCCTCCAGGGACCAGGGTCACGGTGGGGGAGGCACCAGGAAGGCCCCCACTCCCCTGGCAGGCAAGTGCCAGGGGGAGGAGCCTGAGGACAACCCCGCAGCTCTGCCCTGAGGTCGGGGCCGTCACCCTCCCTGTTCCTGGAACAGAAAAGTTCTGGAGGGGCCTCAGTGCTGTCTCTGCCGTTGCTCCCCACGTCTCCCCTTGGGCTCTTCCTCTCTGCCTTTCCTTGGGGTGTGAAACATCTGGCCAGAGACGCGTGAAGCCCCTGATGGGTTCCTCTGCAGCCCCAACTGGGAATGAGACCGGACTCCCTTCTCAAAAGGAGGAAAAGAATCACTACGTGAGCCGCTCGCGGTCAACTGTGATTCAGGAGAGCAGTCGGTCCACGGAATCTGATCGGAGGGTCTTGAATCAAAAAGAGAACAGAGTTATTGCAGGAAAGGGGAATCGTGTCAGAAAACGGTAACTGATGTTCTCGAGAAGGTGAGCCCAGCAGGGAGCCGGAGGGCGAGCCATCTGCGGTGAAAACACCAGCGCCAGCCCGGGGCCGTGGGGCGGCAGGGAGAGAAGGCAGAGTGGCTAAGACCACGGAGACCCTAAGTCCTCCCAGACTTGGTGGGAGACGCGATGAGAAGGTGAAGTTCGAGGTCAGCGAGGGGGGCAGGCCCAGAGTGCAGGGTGGGAGGCTGAGAGTTGCAGGGAGGGGGGGTGGGAAGAGACGGTTTCGAAGTGGAAAGAACTCCTATAAACTGAAGGTAGGTTTGATCCTGCACGCGGAGCGGGCTCCCCACGCGCAGGGCAAACATTTCAAAGATCAACGGGCCCTCTGGCTCCCACTCTGGAAGGAGCAGCTCCAATAACCTAAAACACCCTCACATTTCTTGACACCGTCTGACACTGAGGTCAGAGGGCAAACAAGGCGCCTGAAATCTAAGGAAAAACAGGCCCCGCTCAGAAGAGGTGGGACGTGAGCCTGACTCAGGGAGCCATCTGTGCTCATGAAGAGCTCAGCTGACGTGTCTAACAGAACCCAACTGTGAAGGGCAGCGTTCTGAGATGGCCCGTGACCTTTGGCCGGTGTTGTCCCACGAGTTCGTCAGGTTATTGGCGAAGGGATTTGCAGCTGTAATTAAGGCTCTGCCCATTGGCTTCGAGTTCACCCAAGGGGAGGGCACCCAGGTGGGCAGGCCTAGTCCATTACAGGGCCATAGGCCGGTGCGGGGGGTGGGGGCAAGCGGCGGGCAGCCTATGAGAAGGTGTCCAGAGGACAGCTGGGAAACGGGACCTAGTCCCGCGGCTGCGAGGAGACGCTTCCCGGAGCCTCAGGAGGGTGGACCCAGCCTCCCAAGTATGGGAGCCCGGAGGGAGCCCAGCCCCGCAGGCAGGCAGGCAGGCCAGCGGGACTTCTGGCCAAGGACAGGGGCTCACACGTGGAGTGAAGTCAGCCGTCCATGGCGACTCGCAGCTGGGCCGTCAGAGAGGAGGATGCCGGCAGGAACTGCTGTGAGCACAAAGCCCCTGTCTCGGCAGACGTGGGCAGGGGGTGGGGTGGGGTTCAGACTCAGGGACCAGCTCTTCAGGGACCCCACCTGGGCGCTGAGGAGAAAGAAACGGGTGGGGCAGGGCTGGAGGAGGGGAGCCCTCAGAGCAGAGCAGAGCCAGGGCACAGGTGCAGAACCCCTGCTGCTGGGGGTGGCCGTGGGAGGTCCTTGAGCTCAGGTGACACACACATTCTCTTCACACTTAACACCGAATATTAGGGGAAAACACTTCAACTGTTGTAACACCCCCCCTCCCCCAAGCAGTGACCAAGAGACCAGACAACGGATGACACCAGGATGCAGACACTGGAGGGAAGGGGCGGGCAGATGACCCCACAGTGAAAGGACAAAAAGGAAGTCGTGAGGAGTCGTTAAAGGGGCAGGTGTCTCGTCAGCGATGGAAGAAAAGCAGAGCATAAGTTATCACAAAACTTGTAAGTGGGGCAAATTCTCCTGCAAAAGGGAAAGACTCTAAGGTAGGATTGTAACCAAAGCCAGGCTGATGCAACGATGGCCGAAAACCTACAGAGCAAAGTGCAGAGGCCAGGGTCAGGAGATGGTGGGGACACTGCCAGCGTCGGGCAGAGCAGAATTCAAGACAAATAGCACGGAGCAGGGCACAGAGGCCTCCAGACCAGTAAGCAAACGTTAGAGAGAGCGTGTCAGAGAGATCTAGAAATTACAGACCCTTAGAGATAAAAGGAGACATTGCCCCAAAAAACTGTCTTGGGAAAATTCCACACATGATTCTTAGCTTCGATAAATCCAGGAGACAGAATCAAGGTGGAATATTTGAATGATGTGAAGCTTGGTTTAATAGGTATATTTCAAAACGTGTAACTTGCAAACAGGAAGCACTGTTTTCAAATGCGCATGGAACAAATACATGTGGACATACGTGTAAAATGAAACAGCCTGGCCCCGCCTCCCCTGCTTCCTCAGACCCCACACTTCCTGGGTATCTCCCAAGCCCCCAGCCAGGCACCTGGGCGCTGGGACTGAGCCCTCCGAGCCTCTCTCCAGCAGCTTCAGTCACTGGGGCCTTTGAAACAGAAATCCCCTCTCAGCTCACAAATGTTTTCCAGACTGAGCTCCTTCTCTGCTCTCTGCCCATCGCCTGCAGGAGGCTCCTCCTCAGAGGCTCCTGGTCTAGCGGGCACCTGGGACCCGGGCACCTGGGACCCAGGCCCCTGCCACCAGGCTCCAGGCCGAGCCCCACATGGAGCGAGTCAGCACAGGCTTGGCGTCCGCACCTGCCCTCTGAGGGGAGGCCTGCCTGCCGGCTGCCCCTGGGGCCCTACAGGCCTCGCCCTGCTCACTGCTATGCTGACATGCAAGGCCATCTCTCCAGGTCCCTCCTCGCAAGGCACTGGGAGGGGGTGGCCTGGACCCGAGCCCGTGTCCTCCTCAGCCCCTCCACTCTGCCATCTCCGTCAGCCTCGTCTTTTCAGCATGGGGCCGGGGGACCCGATTCCCTGACACCTGGGGGTGGCCGCCTCTGGGGCCTGTACCCCCCGAGCCAGGTGTGCTGTTCTTGGTGCTCTGAGGTCCTCAAGCAGCCGCAGCGGCCCAGACCCGGCTGAGCCCTGGCCCTGGCCCTGTCCTGCCGAGGGATCTTAGCACAGCCCAGGGTTCCTTGGACTTGTGGGCCTGGGTGGGGTGCAGTGAGGGGGGTCCGGGCCAGCCCCCGTCCGCCCAGGCCTGGCCCCCACCCCAGGCCCAGATCCTCACCTGAAAACTTCACCCCGGTGGCTGCCTTCACACCCCAAAGGCCAGCACGTGGCATATTTACCCAAGTCCACCCTGTGCAACCTCCTTCCATGTCTGAGTGTCATAGAAGAAAATGCGGTCCCGCGGCGGCATAAATATGACCCCACACACCTGGAGAGCTCCAAGGCTAGGCCAGCGCCACCCTATGCCTGCCGCCGAAAGCACAGACCTGGGAGGCCGGGGGTCTGCCCCCGACTCGGCCCCTCGCCGACTGTGCCACCGGGGCCAGGTGGCTCCCTGCTCAGGACTCAGTGTCTGCAAATCTGTGAAATAAGGGCTGGGACCACTGCAAAGACGGCTCCACCAGGGTGGCCCAGACGAGCTCTGTGGGGGCCCGACGCCCAGGGGCCGCCTGCCCCAGCCCAGCACAGCCAGTGCCACTGCCCGCGGGGACATGGAACCCGCCCTCTCCCAGAAGCCTTCCTCCCCACCCCGCCCCCTGCCCCGGGGTGTGAGGTGCGCCCACCTGGAGCCTCGCTCCTCCGCGCCTCGGGGACACCTCCTCCTGCAGGGCCCATGCAGCCTGTGCGCCGCTCAGCTCACCCTCCGCCTGGCGCCGGCCTGTGGGGAAAGCGGGGCAGCTCACCTGGCTCCCAGGGTCTGTGGGGCTGCCTCTCGGGGATGGCCCCTCGCATTGCACAGGCTGGGAAACTGAGGCTTTGGTTTATTTAAGTGACCGGCACCTAGATGGTAGGGGCTGGAGAGGCCCCCCCTCTGAAAATTCCCTGCCCTTCCTGTCCTGCCTCAAAGTCAAGGTCCCCGGGGGCAGGTCTGGGGTGCCAGCTCCCTCTGCCTGGACTCCAGGCCCCTCCCCACCCTTCCTTCTCTCCTGCTGGCTTTGCTCCCGGACATCCCTCCCTTGGACTCCGTGCCAGGCCCGGGCCTGCCTCCTGGGCAGACCCAGGAGTGGGGGAAGGGGGGCAGAAAGGAGGTGGGGTGACCAGCAGGGCAGGGGGCCTCCCTCTGAGGAGCTGACGTGGGCCGAGGACCCGGGGGGGGGGAAGAGGGCTCCTGGCGGAAGGCACAGCCAGTGCGGATGCCCAGAGGTGAGACTGCAGGAGGCCGGCGTGGAGGAGTAGCTGGGGGCCAGGTCGGGGCGGGCCTTGGAGGTCCCTGGACTTTACTGCCTTGTGACGGGGAAGCCACGGCTGAGAAAGACCCCCCAGCTGCCAGGTGCTGGGGCGCCTCGGGGTAGGGGGCGCGCTGGTTCCGGGGTCTGGCCCCGTGGCCCGAGCCCGAGCAGCTCCCGGGACAGACCCTCGTGGTGCCAGGAGGTGGGCTCTGGGGGACCTTGTAGTGGCGACCAGGGCAGGGTGGAGAAGGGCGGTCACCTTCCTCCGCCTCGGCCAGGCCCTCTGCAGCTGCCCGCGTGGCTCCGGGCTCGGGCGCGCTCATGCTCGGCCTCGCTCAGCCGGATGCTTAGGCTCCCCGCCTGGCAGCGCCAGGCATCCTGGGCAGGAGAACCAAGGTCAGGGGGCAGCTGGTGGGCGGGGGCGGGTGGAGGGCCAAGTACCGGGCTAGAGGGTGGGGTGGGGCAGCTCATGGCTGCTCGGGTGGGACAGGGCGGTGGGCGGCTGGGCTGGCCTGCGGGTGCGGGGAGGGGAGCACCGAGGGCTGGAGTGGCGGCTGGGGTCCCGTGTCCAGCTGTGTGGGACGGACACAGCGGAGCAGCAGGGCCTGCAGGGGCACGGGAGCTGGCCTGTAGGTGGGGTCAGGGTGACCTGCAGGGACGGCCCCCCGCCGGGATCTGGGCCTGTGTGGGGCTGGAGCCTGTCCCCGGGGCTGGCACTGGTCGGGCAGGGAGGGGGTGGGGTGGGGGTGGAAGGGGAGCAGGTGTCCGTGGAGGACCCCGTCACTGTCAGTCTGTCTTTTCCCACCCTCGCCCCTTCGAGTCTGGCGAATCTGGCGGGGGCAGCTCATGGACTGCCCTGCGGGATCCCCGGGGCAGCAGGGTGGGGTCACTGGGGCACTCTAGGGGGGCCCTGGCCAGCTCCTGGGTTGGTTCTTCAGAGGACGGGCACTGCTGCCTGGTCTGAGGACGGAGGGCAGCCCTGGACAGTGGGGCAGCTGGCTTTCGAGGGCTGCTGGTATTTATTTGTATCTATCCCTCAGGGGCCTGCCAGGGTCTCAGTGGATCCAGGACGGACAGACAGAAGGACAGCAGACCGAGTGAGCAGCCGCTCCCCGCCCCCATTCCCGCTCCCGCCGGGCATCCCGCAGCTTCTGCGCCAAGTCCCTCAGGGCGTCCCTCACCGAGGCCACGGCCCCCTCTGTGCTGCAGTCTCCCGGGGCAGGTGAGGGCCATCGGAGCGGCGAGTGGGACCGGCCGGGGGTGCTGGCACTCTGCCGCCCAGGGGAACCCTGGGTGCCCTCTGAGCCTGCAGGACAGTGACGACTGAGAGAGCATGGTGGGGATGCGGTGACAGACACGCAGGTGCCCCGTCCCCCTTTCTCTCTGCCGTCCCCGGCCATGGGGAGCCTGGGGAGAGGCACAGGACTCAGGCCCCCGCTTCTCTCCTGCTGGCTCTGCTCCCAGACATCCCTCCTTTGGATTCCTAACCCTAACCCTAACCCGAGGGTCATGAGCCCTGGGGGGCGGGGGTGATGCCCCAGGAGGGTGACACAGCTGGGACAGGAGCCTGCTTGAAGCCACAGACGACACTGACCTTTGGCAGGGGAGCCGGGCCGCTTGGGGGAGGCCACGGGGCTCTGTCCCCGGAGCCCCAGGCCCAGGCGGAGTGTGGACCACAGCCGGCCCAGCTGGGCCTCCGCCTCCCTCCTGGCACCCTCGGCCTGGGCCACCTCCTGCTGCAGGCTGCCGAGCCGCTGGCAGGCCCCGTCCAGGCGAGCCTGGAGGCCATCGGCCGTGCCGCTGGCCTGCTGCAGCTTCCTGATGACGCTGTGCAGCTCGGCCCAGAGGGCCCGCTCGGTGCCCCGGCTCTCGCAGAGGCGCTCCTCCAGCTGCTTCTCCTGGGCCGCGGCCCTGGCTTCCGCCTCCACCAGGGTGTGCTGCAGCCTCAGGACCTGGGGGAGGGACTCGGGGCTCCAGACCCACCTGCTGTCTGAAGACTCCCCAGCCCGCTTGGCCTTAGCCCCTGCTCGGCATGTCACAGCTAGGGGGCTCTGGACCTGCTTCCCACCCCCTGTCTGACTACGGGGACACCTGAGCCCAGGTGGGGAGGGACACCCCAGAACCACGGAGCAGGTCCTGGCAGGCAGCAGAGCTCACTGGCAGCCTCACAGCCCTGGCCAGACGGGGCGATGGCCCCAGGCTGTGCCCTCCTTGGCCTGCGTGGGGCAAGCCCCAGGCAGACCCTGCTCGCGGCCTGACTCGTGCCCCCATCCCCTGGGATGGTCCCTCCGTGGACTCAGGCAAGGTGCCCTTTGAATACTCATGAGTGAATGGGGGATAAACGGAGACGCCACAGCCCCTCAGGAAGTGCCCAGGCTGGGGTGGAGACAGCCAGTCCCCCAGCTTGAGGCCCCGCGCCTGCCAGATGGGAAGCCCTGGGCGCTGCTGGGCTCCTACCTCCCTCTGTGAGCCCTCTCTGGCTGCCTGTGCCTCGGCCGCCAGCCTCTGCAGCTCCAGCGTCCCCTGCTGCACACCCTGTGCGCCCCGGACCTGCATCCGGCGCAGCTCCTGGCTCTTCCTCTGGTTCTCGGCCTCCAGTGACATCACCTGGGTGTGTGGGGTCGACACTGATGGGGTCGCCTGGGCCTCTGTGCCAGGCCTCCCTGACCCCTGCCTCTGCTCACATGGCCTGGGAGAGAGCCTCCCTCCCGGGCAGCAGACTGCACTCAGGGAGGCTAAGGCGAAGTCCAATTCCAGCCTGGGGTCTGTGCCGTGTCCCCCGCAAGACCAGGCCCTTGGAGCTGACTCTCTCTGCCACTCCACACCCTCTCCTGGTGTCTCGTCTCTGGAGCCAGGACACTCTGTGGAGCCCAGAGATGTGAAAAATGCTGGTGCAGAGGCCACTCGAGTGAGGAAGGGTGCCTGTGCCCGTCCCTACAGTAGACAGTTCACCAACCAATTTGTCTGCAGAAGTCTGGCAAAACTGGGTGTGCACACTTTGAAGGGCAGTCTAGGGCCCTCCTGGGTGGGCTTGAGACCAAGGTGGTCAGTGTTAAGTGGCCCTGACCTCGGACGCCAAGGCTAAAGGATGAAGCAGTACCCATCTGTTCACCCTGAGCCCTGAGGCGGCCGTGACGGGAAAAACCCAGGCCACTCGGGGCCACGGGAGCTGCCCACCCCGTCCCCCCGACAGCCAGCATCAGCCACCGGACGCCTGATGTGCTGGGAGAGCCCCCCCACCGGTCCCTCTGTGGAGTGGAGTCCCCTCCGCGTGGCGCCCTGGCTGCACTCCTGGGCCTCAGAGTCCATGGGCGTCCGAATGATTGTTTTAAGCCAATAGGTTTGGGGCTTGTCCATGTGCCCCACAGGCAGACCCAACCCAGACCCCGTGAGTCCGAGCAGGGCCCTTCTGCTGTGGCTCCAAGTCTGGGGAGTGGGGGGGGGGGACACTCCTGGAGGGGTGTGGGCTCCAGGGAGGCCCCTCACCTGTCTGCGTAGCTCCTGGAGCTGCCGGCGGGCGTCTGCCCGTGCCTGCTCTGCCCCCTGCAGAAGGGCCCGCAGCTTGCCGGCCTCCTTCTGAGCCGCTGCCCGGGCCTCCTCCAGGACCAGCACCTTCTGCGCCTTCTCCTCCTTGGAATGCTGAAAGCTGAGCGGAGGGTCACAACCTTGGGCCGGGGAGCTCCCTGGGGGCTCCGGCATCCCCCGAGGTGACGGTCCTGGCCACCCGGCAGGCCGCCCGCCTCACTCCAGCCAGACACTCCCCACATCCGATTCGAGTGTGCCGAAGCCCAGCCTCCTGGGGCACGCCTCTGTCTGGGTCCGACTGCCCAGCTGGCCGGGCCCCTCGCTGTGTCTCAGCCCCTCTCCCCACTCCCCTCCCTCTAGCCACGCTCCTAGAGACCCAGTGTCCAGCATCCGCCGGCACCTCTGCTGCTCCCCAGGGAGGGCCGCAGCTCCGGCCAGGCTGTCCTGCCTCTGGTAGGCATCCTGGAGCCACTGACCAGGTCCTTGGCCTCCCTCTGCTCCCCAGCCCTGGGCGTCTCCTTCTGGCCACCTGGGGCCTGTCTTTCCTGCTGAACGGAACTTCCTGAGGGCGAGGACAGGCCTGGTGGTGTCCCAGCCTCCACCTCCTGGGCCAGCACCGTAGACCCTTTGGACGGGCAGCTGGCACCCTGGGTCCGCTTGGTCTGTCCACTTCACCATCATCTGGCCCAGCTCAACAGGACCAGGGCTGCTCTGTGGGGCGGCTGCCCTACCTGGCCTTCTCCTGCTCGACTCTGCGGATGGTGGCCCGCAGCTCGGTGTTGGAATCCCGCAGCATGTCCTTCTCTCGGGCCTCATCCTCCAGTGCCCGGCGGGCGTCCAGGGCCTCCCTGTGCAGCCTCTCCCGGCTCTCCTCGCTGCCCTGCAGCTCCTGGCGCAGGGCCGCCAGCCCCTCCTGGGCCTTGTCCAGCTGTGCCCGCAGCCTCTCGGCCTGGGGAGGAGTGTGTGTCTCTAGGGGCCAGCTGGGGGCCACGGGCCAGGGTCAGCTGTGGCCTCTGGCTCTGCTCTGGCAGCGCCAGTGCCCACCCCCCCACACCCCGGCCCCGGGTCGTCAAGTGCTCGAAGGAGAAGCAGGCAGCCTGGCTTTGCCCACGCCGCTGAGGCTGCAGGACGGCTCACAGGGGCCCATCCCAGAGCCCTGGCAGGAGACACCCTGGCCCTTCCTGACCCTGGTGCTGCCCTGCGCTCCCTCCCTGGACCCTGGGGACGTTGGTCACCGGTCAGCAAGGCCTGTGTGGGACACAGCTCGGCCCACACGTCTGCACTGTCCCCACCTGTGTCCCTCGGGCCGGCTCCTCCCCTTCAATAAGGGTGTGGCCCCCGGGCCACCGGCCACCCTGGTGTGGAGAGCAGCCTCAGCACCCAGGCTCCTGAGCTCTGCACGGCCGCGGGCACGTCCACTGCCTCGGGCCTGGGCTCCCTCTCCGTAAGGGAGGGAGTGGGGAGGCCAGGTCTCTGGGCGACGGCGCCCTCAGCATCCTCTGGCCGCAGCAGGGCCGCTCGGTCTGGGCTGTCGCTGTCACAGGAGCACGGTTCAAGGTGCCCGCCACAGAATCGAGGGCCTCCTAAACCCCAGGGGTGAGGGCAGCAGAGGCCCCAGGGTGGGAAGGCTGTGGAGCCAGTGGGGACCTCAGGGCCCAGCAGCCCGGACCCTGGCCTCTGGCCACTCCGCACCTCTGTGAGCTGACCCGAGGAGGGGGAGAGGCTGCAGGTGTGTCCTCGTCCCCTGCCAGACCTGCTCCGGGCCCAGAGGGGGACTCCCACCGCGCTGGAGCCGGGACCTGTGTCATCCCCTGCTCCGGGGCCCTCCTCACCCCCTGGCTTCCGGGCAGGGCTTGCGGGCTCCGTGGTTTTGTGGGGCTGAGAGCCCAGCTGAAGCGTCAGTGGCGGTCAGGGTTCCTAAGCGCCCTGGGTTCCTAAGCTGCCTCAGGGCCCCCGGGGCTCACCCTCTGGTGGGAGGTGCTGGAGGGAGTGCAGACCCCGGAAAGGGGCAGCCCGGCCCGACGCACAGGCTCTGGGGCTCGCCGGGATCCCTGGTCTCCCCACCGACCACCGGTGCACTCTGGAGAAGGCGTGCCCCAGAGGAGGAGGTGGGGGAAGCCACAGAAACGGAGCCTTGTCCAGGCGCTGGTTTGCCAGAGCGAGCCCCACTTTGCTGGCTGTTTCAGCGGGACACTGTCCAGGCCCCCGGCCGGCCTGGCTCCCGCGTCCGCCGGCTGTTATTGTTGTTCTGTTTTTGGGAAGGGCCCCCCTCCGCTCCCCTCCCGCCCCCCACATGTGGGAGCCACAACTGCACGGAGCATTTTCCGCCGAGCTCAGCAGAAATCCACCCCGAAGGTCAAGGACCAGCAAAAGGGCCTATCCATCATAAAAGAAGCTGTTTTCATTTCCCAGGGCCGAGGAGATGAAAACAAGCAAAACAAACGCGGGGGAGGGAGTCCCCCGCCCCCCCGCCCCACCCCCACCCACCTCATGAGAACAACCACCCCTTTTACAGGAATTTTACAGCCAAATCTCTTAATGTGATTATAATAATTATTTCTTTACTAGAAATTGTATAAACAGACTCTTTTGAAATCTCCTGCAGGGAGGTGACCCGAGGGCTCTGCACGGGGGAGGGGCTGCTGAGGGGCCCTGGCCTGTGTGTGTGTGTTCACGCGTGTGCATGCATGTGCAAGCACACACGTGTGTATGCACACAGCATGCGTGAGTGTGTGGTGTGTGCATCTGCACACACCTATGTGCAGACGTGCGTGCCCACGTGTCCGTTCGCACGCATGTGTGCTGCTCATACATGTGAGGACTCTGGGAGTCACGTGTGCTGCTTGTTGCACATATGTGGTGCCCATATGTGTTTGCCTGTATGAGTGCTGTGTCCACGCATGAGTGCATGTGTGTGCACTGCCTCTCTGTGTGTGCACGCGTGCGCATGGGGGTGTGGTCTCCATGTGCACAGGCGGTGTATGTATTGCGTGTGATACACGCACACACGCACGCACGCGCGTGTGGACCTCAGGCACGGCTGTGAGAGGCCTGGACGTTCCTCCAGTTTAAAGGCTGTGAAAGTGTTACGGTTTCCATGGCGACTCTGGGCCAGCCTGGCGCCTGGGAGGGTCCTCTGGGCTCCCTCCCCCTGCCATTGTTCCCCTTGCCCCCCTCACCCGCCTCAGCCTCCATCCACCCCGTCCCCATTCTGGGGCCCCTCTCCTTTCTGGGGGTGGCCGATCGGGGAACCTGAACTTCCCACGAGGCATTGCTTTCTCCCTTCACCCACCAGCACAAACGTGCCCCCACCTCCCCGGCTCCTCCCCCTGCCGCCCCCAGTTTTAAAATCTCATTCTGCTTCCCCGTGTGGTCGCTGACCGGGACTGACTTCGAAATCTGTTGAAAGGAGACCTTTCTCTTTGGGGGCCAAAGTAAACAGGCTGTCATGTTCAATCACGCTCTCGTCCTCTCCTGGCCCGGCTCGGGGGGCTGGGGGAGGGCCCGGCCCCTCTGCTCACTCTGCTGGCCGCTCCCCCGCCCGCCTGCCAGCCTTGGCGCCCGGCCGGGGAGTGCATGAGGTCGCTGGGCCCCGGGGCCCCTCCCCCAGCCCCAATCCCTGTGCCCGCCTGCCCGCCCCCTCCCAGCGTCCCCACGTCCTGTCAAATTCCCTTCAGAAACACCTCCCCAGCCTGCCTGCCGAGCTCCGCTCGCCCGGGCCCAGACTGGCCCCACCCCGGGACACCTCACAAGGCTCTGGGGGCCCCGCACCAGCCTCTGGGCCCTGGCGGGGCCCGCGCGTGGCTGCCCCGGGACACCCCACTCACTCTGCGTGTCTCCCCCTGCCCAGGGCGGCCTCGCCCCCCCAGGGCCTGGTCCCGCGGCGTCCAGGCCTCACGCTGTGTGCGGGCTGCACCCGCTCAGCAGCATCTCGCCCGGGGTCTCCCCACGGCTTGTTGGAAGGTGGGTCCCGGATGCGGGTCCCCTCCTACCCCTCAGGTCACACCTGCCTCGCAGGGGCCCCCCTTCCCACCCTGCCTCACCTCTCTCCTGGCGCTGCTCCGCTGGGCCGCCATCTCCCGGAGCCTCTCGCCCAGAGCCCTGGCCTCCCTCTGATGGGCCGAGACGGCGTCCTCAAAGTGGGCCTGCAGGGCCTTCAGGTCTGCGGTCGTGGCGCTGATGGTGGCCTGGGGGGAGCAGCAAGCCGGCCGCAGCGTCAAGTGTGCCTGGCGGGAGGCTCAGGCCCCCACGGGCAGCCCCACGCTGTGCTGGGCCAGGCGGGCAGCCCACTTGGGCCACGTAAGGTGGGCCTGGGGCTCTGGATGACCACGGCCAGTGCCGCCAGTGCCGGTTCCTGAGGGTCCCAGTGGTGAGGGGGGCAGTGTAGAGGTCCCGGTGTCGGGGGCGGTGGGGGGAGCTTCCCATGGGAAGGGCTGACCCTGCCTCCTGAACTTTCAAGCAGGCGGGTGGGATTGGGGGACGCTCCCAGGCTCTAAGTGTGAGAGTACCCGCGACACGCCTGGGAGGGGTCAGGGGTCGTCCCTATTTGGATCCGCGGCTACGCTCCGAACTTGGATATCCATGCGGGCGGGACTCAGCTTGGCCTGAATCTGCTTTCCTGTGGCCAGAGCGCCAAGACGCTCCTCTAGTGCTAACAGAGGGCCACTGGAGCAGGGGGTCCTCTGGGCCACAGGCTTGGCCATGGCGGTGCTAGAACCCCTCCTGTCCATGAATGAGGGCACCACCTGCTTACCCTGAGCCCGAGACCCAGCCTAGCTTCCTGGCCAGGACATACCCCCGCCACCCGCCCGGGGTGGTCTGGGTCCCCAGGGGGCAGTTTCCTCGGCAGGGCGAGGGACGGAGCTGGCTCTGTGCTCCAGGGGGGCCTGGTGCCCTGCTGCCCCCGACTGGGTCTCTGGGAGACACCCTTCCCCCGCCCCTTCCCAATTCACAGGCCACTGCCTGAGGGATCTGGCAAGCTGGGGCTCTATCAGGCCAAGCTTCCTGCCCTCGGGGAAGGAACCTCGCTGGTGCCGCCTCTGTTCCCGGCGCCTGCTGTCCCTCTCCACTGAGAAGCGTCACCTTGGACGGCCAGGTCTGGCTGTGCCCCCAGGACAGCCCTAGCGAGGCTGCAGTGAGCGCTTGGTGTGGCCAGGGACCGCAGGGCGAAGCCGGGAGCCCCTGCACCGACGGGGGCCTTGCTCGTAGGTCACCCACAACTGCTGTTCCGTGGCTGGCATTTCTCCCCACCCTCCCCTCTCAGTGGGTTTTAATTTCCGTTTTCCAAGCCGAGGTGGCAAAAGAACCCTTAATGAGCTCCCGGAAGAGCCCAGCTGGCGGGCAGGCCCCCCCACCCCCATCCAGTGGGAGACTCAGAGCCAGCTCTAGGGAAGACTCCCAGAGAGGCCCCTCTGCGAGCCGGGGCCTCCGCTCCCGGGCCTTGGGGTCTTTCCTGGCCCGAGGGAGCAGCTAGGGGGTGGTCCGGGAAAGGAGGTCCCAGTCCCATGGGGCTCCCACATCCCTCGCGGCTGTGCCCATGGTAGGACAGAGCAGGGTGGGGGCTCCAGGGAGAGAGGCTCTTAGGCAACACTTTCCCGGGTGCCAGGAGCTGCCGGGGACTGCTCTGCTAGTGACCCGGGGGTCCAGGTCACTGCATCAGGAGGGGGTGAAGAAACACCCTGGCAGCCAACTCCTAATTGCAACACTCCTTCCCTGGCCCAGCGCCCCTCCCCCCCGGCCCGCTAGGTCGGAGCAAACGGCCTGGGCTCCCCAGGCCTGCCATCTGGGCATCCTGCCCTCGTCCAGGGCCCCTTGCGGCCACTGAGCACGGCCCCGCTTGTGGGGTCAGAGGGTCGCCACCCAGCCCTGCAGCCTGCGTTCCACCCACTCACTTGTTCATGGACTCACTGAGCCATTAATGCAACACCAGGGGAGCATCTAACCCCGCACCCTCGGGGCTGGGGAAACACCAGGGACCGGGGTGAAAAATGAAGGTGAGCAGGCTGGAAGAACGAAGGCGGGGGCAGAGGAGACATGGCGCTGGCCCAGCTGAGCCGACTGTGTGCGGCTGGAGTCCTGAGTGCAGGGTCTGGCCTTGCCCTCGACCACCCCCGCTACCTGCGGGGGGACTGCGTCCCCCGACCTCACCGTGAGCCATCCCCCCGGCCCCCTCCTCCCGTGAGCGGCAGGGCCCTGGCCTCTGCGTCACCCACCCAGGGCCTGGCACCACTCCGTAAACAGGCCGAGGCTACCCTGCCGGCGACTGCAGCGGTGCCCAGCCCCGCCCGTGGGGTGGGGCACAGGGCCCCAGTGTGGCCACCCCTGCTCCCCGGAGTCTTACTGGCTGTTGCCTGCCCTCCTGAAGAGGAGTCAGGGGCCCCAGGTGACCCCAGCTGGCTGCCCACAGTGGCCTCCATGCACGTGTGGGCCTCTGCCCACTGGCCCAGGGTGGGCGGCTACCTGCTGGGGTCTCTTCTGGCCCCTCGGCGGATGCCTCCCTCCAGCTCTGCTGGGGATTCTCTATGGGGTCCTTTCTGGTGAGTGTTTGCCTCAGTTACAACGCTGGCCTACCCGCTGGGTTTCTCCTTTGGGAGGGGCCTCTCCAGAAAGTCAGCCCCAAGAGGCCCTGGGAACCTCCTACAGCTATGCTGTGCCACAGGCAGCTGAGGTCAGACAGGGAAGGCCAGGAGCTGGGGGGCTGGCGGGCATAAGCCTGGGTCTGCCCCCTCTGTTGCTGGTGCCAGGCCCTCCCCTCTCTGGCTTCTGCCCAGTGGCACAAGGGTGACTGGCCTGCTGGTCCCCACCCCTGTCCCACCCCATCGCCTTTGCTTCCCGCAGAGACACTGTCCCCTCCCAGCAGGGGATCTGGAGATCCCTGGGGGAAACGGAGGCTCTGGTGGGTTGGGTGGAGGGGATGCATCCTTGGGACCAGGCAGGGAGGGGGTGCCTCTGGGGTCTGCCGCCCCCGCTGGGCTGTGCAGGCGGCCAGGCCAGGTGTCTCGCTCCGGCTGGGGTGCGGGCTCACCTCGGCTCGCTCCTGCCGGCCCCGGGCCTCGTGCTGCACCAGCTCCAGCTCCCACGCGGCCCTGGACAGCTCCTCCCTCAGCTGGCTGATCTCCGCTTCTCTCAGAGACAGGGCCTGGGCGACAGGGGCGGGGTGCTCGTGAGAGGGCTGGGGGCCTCTGAGGAGAGGCTCAGCAGAAGTCTGGGTGCCACGGCCCTGCCAGGATGCAGGCTCTGGGAGGAGGAGCCCCTCAGAGGCAGCTGCATCCCGAGGTGGTGGGTCCAGCCTGCCAGCCTGCGCTCAGGCAGCTCCCCTACCCCACCCAGGGTGCCTTTCCCCTCCCACCTGCATCTGCCCAATACCTGCTCTCTCCCAGCGCAGGTCAGGGGGCTTCACGGGCCACCTCCTCCCTGGAGCCCTCCACCCGCTCCAGGCACAGAGCAGGAACCGCTAATCGTTCCTAACCTCCCCACGTGCTCTGCGTCGCTGAGGGTGAGGGGTGCGCGTGAGTCCCCGGAGATGCTGCATTTCGCCCACCAGCCCCGAGGGGAGAGGGACCCCTGCTCTGTCATCAGGCTGTGGCGTCACTGAGGGTGAGGGGTGCGCGTGAGCCCCCGGAGATGCTGCATTTCGCCCACCAGCCCCGAGGGGGGAGGGACCCCTGCTCGGTCATCAGGCTGTGGGGTGGTAGAGATTTGGCAATGCCCGTCAGTCACAAATGCACATCCTCTCCCTGCCAGGCCCACTGGGGAGGGCAGCCTGGAGACAGGCATGATCTATGCTCGGGGTCTCCGATGAGTATTTATAATGGCAACAAGACTCCCACCGAAGGGAGGCCAACAGAACGAAGGGGGATCCCTGCACACGTCAGGGCGTCATGCAGCTGTGGAAAAGAACCAGCGAGCTCTGAGCACAGTGTGGAAAGCCCCCAGATCTGTTGGTCCTGAGAAGAGAAAGGTCCAGAACATTGTGTGTCCCCTTCGTCCTTGTGCTACAGAGGCGGGTGTAGGAGTGTGTATTGCCACTTGCTGGCCTGTGCACGGCAGTCTCTGGGAGGAGGTTTGTAACAAAGAGTGTGTCTGCTTTTTGCCCTGGGTGCTGGGGGAGCCTCTAAACCCCCGAAATTTCACAGGTGAGGGTTGTCTGTTATTTGCGGACCCTGGGGCCACACCTGAGCTTGTGCTAACAAGGTGGTCAGAACCCTGGGGCAGTGAGCCACTGAGATCGGCCTGACCACCCAGCCTCTGGGAGGGGGCTGGACCCTGCGTTTAGTCCATCACACCCACACAAGGAAACCCCAATAAAACCCTGGAGCTTACTGGCTGGTAAACACCCTAATGTGCTAGTGGGTGACCTGCCCTGACTCTGCAGAGAGAGAGCCCGTCCCTGTGTCTCTCCACTTGTCTCGTCCTGGCCTGTGTCCTTTACAATAAAACTAATGGCAAGTGTAGTACTTCCTGGAGTTCTGTGAGTCACCCTGGTGAACGGCTGAATCCGGGGCTCTGCCCTCCCCGGACATTCGTACGATGCTTTTCCTCTACCACAGCCTCCTGACCCTCCTTCAAGCCCCACCCTCGACACACCGTCCTTACTTTCAGGAATCAGGAGAGCGGAGTGGCCAAGGACATGGTCCCCACTGCCCAGCAGGTGTACCGTGCCACCCTGGGTAAGTTATTCAACGTCTGTGAATCTCTGTTTCCCTCCAGTCAAAGGGGCCGATAAGAGCGTGAACCCCTCAGCATTGTGAGAGTCAAACTAGAGATGCAGAGTCTGACAACAAACCTTGGTTATTCCTGCTACTGTAACTCTTCTCCCACAATCTGTAGCTTGTACCAACACCTGAGAGTCCTGTCACAGTGTGACAACCCACATGAATGTGTTTACTTGTCTGTCCCATTCACTCAACCGTGCACGCTTCAGGGTGGCGCGGGATACTGGAACTGTCTGGACTCAGAGGGTGGCTTTTACCTGCCCAGTGTCTGAATTCCAACAGCCTGTGGGATGGGAGGCGGGTCGGGTGGGTGGCTGATGGATGGACACACTGATAGCTGGCTGGCTGGTGATCAGGTGCATGGAGGGATAATCAGACACATGGATAATCAGTGGATATGGATGGGCAGCTGAGTGTGTGGACAGAGGGAAGGGTCTTTAAGTGAATGGATGGATGACTGGTTGAGTGAGTGGTTGAATAGATGGATGGTCAGGTGAGTGGATGGATAGTTGGATGGATGTTTAAGCAAGTTGATGGATAGATTTATGGTCAGGTGCGTGAATGGCCAATTGGGTATGTTAATAGATGGCTATGTATGTGGGTAGACAGCTGGGTGTGTGAATAAAGGACAGATATTCAAGTGAACGGATGGATGATGGACAGGGGAGTGGAGGGACAGTGAATTGCACGGATGTATAAATGGGCAGGTAGTTTAATGGGCAGATGGATGAGTGGTTGGATGGGTAGATGGATGGGTGGATTGGTGGATAGATGGGTGGATGGATAGATGGATGGATGGATGGACAGGTGGATGGATGAATGGTTATGTGGCTGGATGGACAGATGGTTGGATGGGTGCATGGTTGGATGGATGGATGGATGGACGGATGGATGGATAGATGGATGGATGGATGGATGGATGGGTGGATGGGTGGATGGTAGGTGGGTGGATGTCTGTCCACCAGGACTGCTGTGGAAGATCAAAGCTGCAATAACAGTGGTGTGGAAAGGTTGCCCCGCACAGCCCTCTTGCTGGGTCGGAGAAGGCAAGTGATCAGACACGAGAGCTCCCCACTGCCTCGTGGTCCGCCCGTCACCTGCTGCATCTCATGTTCCAGCTGAAGGAGACTCTCATCCCGCTCATGCTTCAGGCTCTGAATTTCCTCCTGCAGAGCCTCCCTCTTGGCTGCACTTTTTGCCACCAGCTCCTTCTCCTGTTCCAGCCTGCGTGCTGCCACTTCCTTCTCCTCTGTCAGAGACAGACTCAGGGTCTCCTGGGCCGAGGAAAAGGGACAGGCCATGAAGACTCACAGGTCAGGACTCGTGAGACCAGCAGGTGCCTGTGTTCCTGAGTGAGACTGGGTTCATGGGACGTCAGGGCAGGACAGGTGCCCAGGGACCGTCCGGTCCAGCCAGCCTTACGCCGACACCTCACACGCAGTGACACGCGCTGCGAAGGGCTCTCTGGGCCCCAGCAGCTACCACCCCCCACTCAGGTCACAGCTCAGAAACTTTTCCTGAGCCTCCACAGAGCACCAGGCACCCTGACATGCAAAGTGTGTAATGACGTGTCACTCGAGGCCTTCTGGGACTGTGACCAGTGGGATGTCTCAGAGGGGGACAGAGCTCCGTCCAGCTATGGGTCCTCAGACTGCGGCCAGGTCAGCCGACGCCCGTGGGTGCCTATTCTGTGAGGGACAGGGCCCCGGCCACCCATGCACACTGTCAAGGGCCCTCTGGCCCAGCCTCAGCGTGGCCTGGGCACCCCTGCCACCCAGATGGTCTCCTGGGCCCCTCCCCAAGTGCCTGCCGTCCCTGGGGACGCGGTAGACTCCCGGGAAGCGGCTGGGCAGCTGGGGGCTGGTCCCAGGGAGGCAGACCTTCTCCCTCTGGAGCCGGGCTAGGTCCTCGAGGTGGGCCAGCGCCTGGCTCTCCAGGGCCAGCTGCGTGTCCTGCTCCTGCTGTACCACCTGCTGCAAGAGCCGCCCCACGTCCCTCTGCAGCTTCTTCTCCTGGACCTCCCAGGTGCACTTCAGCTGCTCCATTTGCACTGTGAAGGGACAGGCGCATCCGACACCCGCCGCGGGGCCCTCTGTCACCCCCACCTCATCCCCCGGAACACCCTGCGGCCCTGTGAGCCCCTGTGGAGTGGCAGTCCCCGGCTCTGAGGATACGGCCCAAGCCAGCGGGACAGAGCCCCCCAGGTGCCACTGCAGGCACGTGTCCTGATCCCAGCCCACGCTGGGCAGCCTGCACGCTGCAGGGTGGGCTGAGCAGGGACGGGCGCACAGGGGGTGGGGCTGGGGGCTGCCACGCTGACCCTGTGGCCACAGCCCGTTCTGAGCCTCGGGCCAGTGCTGGCAGCAGTGCCCACGCACCACAGAGAATAGCGGCACAAGTCACTCAGACACACGAGCTCTGGGCTGCGTTTGGGCCCCTTTGGGGGCTGGGGAGTGGGAGCAGAGCATCAGGGGACGAGCTCATCTAAAGGGTCCGTCTGGGGCTGGTCTGGGGACAGGAGCCGAGGGGGCCTGTCTGCGGAGCACCTTGCAGGGCCTGCCGGGCCAGCCTCGCACTCTGGGCCTCTCCCTCCAGCTGCTCCTGCCGTGACTGCAGCTGTGACGCCAGCTGTTGGGCCTCAAAGAGGCTGTTCTCCAGGGAGTCCCTCTCGGCCCTGCAGAGAGTCACCAAACAACAGGCGAGTCACTCACTGGCGTGACTGGCGGAGGATCCTGCCAACGAGGGACAGCGTGGAGCCCATTTGCTAGGACGGTGCCCGTCAAGGCTGGGATGGTAAATCAGAAGGCAAACAGGGGACAGCTCATTCATCTTAAATCTAAGAACAAATTGGACCCTGCGTAAAAAATGTTCCAGGTGGACTCAAAAGCTAAAATGCAAAAACAATACAAACAGACAACAACTAAGCGACTCAGAGCTGTAAAAACAGAAAAAATCCAGAAGCGTATTTTATAATCTTAAGCAAGACATAAAAGCCACAAGACAAAAATAAGGAGGCCAACAGATCTGAATACACTTAAAGAGAGGGAGACGGAAACTTCTGTGCAGAAAAGATTCCACAAACCAAGTCAAAAGACAAGGGACAGGGCTTCCCTGGTGGCGCAGTGGTTGGGAGTCCGCCTGCCGATGCAGGGGACACGGGTTCGTGCCCCGGTCCGGGAGGATCCCACATGCCACGGAGCGGCTGGGCCCGTGAGCCATGGCCGCTGAGCCTGCGCGTCCGGAGCCTGTGCTCCGCAGCGGGAGAGGCCACAACAGTGAGAGGCCCGCGTACCGCAAAAAAAAAAAACAAAAAAAACAAGGGACAGACTTGGAGAAAATATTTGCACTAAATATGCAAAGGGTGAATGTCCGTCACATACAAGGAGCTCCTGCCAATCAGTGACAAAGCATCTGATCCTACAGAACAATAACAGTGACCGTTATTCACAAAGAAAACACAAATGGGGAATAAACATAAGAAACTCACTAGTCCTCAAGGGGGTTCAAATCACAACTATGATGGTTAATCGATTACATGTCACATTAGCAAAAGCTTAAAATATAGATCATATCTAGTGTTGGCAGGGTGTGAGGGTGACTTCCTCTGGCCGGGGGAGGGGGGCGCTGGGAAATTTCAGAACGTAAAGCGTGCATGTCTTTGGGCCACAGCAATCCCACTTCCAGGCGTCGGTTCTTCAGAAAATACACGTGAACCGATGGCGCAGCGCAGCGACGTTCCCTGTGGCTCCACACGGGGCGCCAATGACACTCAGCTTCGATGCCATGAAACGCTGGGACGTTCCAGAAACTACGGGGCGTCTCGTCAGCTGTAAGACGACGAGGACATTCTCTTAAAGAGTCCCTCTGAGAAGCAGCCTCCAGGGCGGAACTCACGCAGCACGATTCCCCCGCACGAAGAAGCTGCTTCTGCGTCTGGGCACAGACAGCCCTTCAGAGAGTGCCTGGGGTGAACAAGGTGACTCACAGCGGCGCCCGCTCCTGGGGAGGGTGATGACACGGACTGCATCTCTGACAGCAAATCCATCAGTCACCAGCCAGCCAACGAGCGTGTGCTCGGTCCAGTGCTGGGTGACGTACGGTGAAAAAACCAACCAACTAACCAACGAGGACACACCACCAACACTCAACACAGACACCCACATGAAGACACAGACAGCCGATGCGCAGCCCCAAACGGCTTGGTGGGTCAGGGAGGGCCACGGGCCATGGGGGACCTTGCTCAGCCCGTCCCGGCCCCGCCACAGTCTCCCTCGGGCCCCCTGCACACCTCTGCCGCCAGTGTCAGAGTGGGGTGCTGTCAGCACCTTCCGGGGGGCCCTGCTGTCTGCAGAGCCCAGGAACCTCACTCCTCTTATATATCCCGTCCCCCCTCCAGTCCCCACCCTCTTAAGCACCCCACATGTTCCCCACTCTCCACGTCTGGACGGCTCTCCCCAGCTTTCTGTGCCCACCCGGGCCCCTCTGAGGGGAGTGACCTGTGCCGGTCCCGGACACTCTAACGATGTGTCCAGTCTGTCCCTCCACCAGAGCCCGGGAGCATCTCACTTCCTGGAAGGAAGCCCGGCACCACCAGCAAGGGTGCGTGGGGTACAGGTGGGGACCCCTGTCCATCTCGCTGGAGCCTGAGAACTAAAAGAGGTCCGCGGCACTGCAGCCTTGTCAGGGCCTGGGACTGGGGGCCGGAGGACCTTGAAACCTGGGCTCCTCGGTCATCAGGAGAAGCAAGCCATGTCCCGTGCCGCCCTGTCACCAGAAGCTCAGACTGGTCCCTGCGAAGTGCTGTTTAGTGGGTGTGGGACTCCATCTGGGAGCTGCAGGGCCTCCATGCACAGAGGCCCTGGGCCCAGTGCTGAGGCTGGGGGAGGGTCCCCTGACCAGGGCCCGTGATCTGGGCGGCAAATGCTGGCAGGAGGAAAGAGGCACCCTCCCCTGTCCTCTGAGCACTGGTGGGGCCTGGGACGGGGCCAGGAGTGGGGTCTTGGGACCCCTGCTGCCAGCCACCAGGAGGAGACTTCATCGGGCTTCCTGCTCCAACCTGTGGCCACGCTTTCTTTGGGAGGAGAGGTCTTCTGTGAAGAAGTTCGAGGACCTGGGCCTCTAAGTTTCCTCATGGCCCCCAGTTCTGGAATTTCGGGAGGAACTCTTTCTACAAAAATACTTCGATGTTCCTGAGGAGGGTACAAGGTGCAGAAAGCCACCAGCTTTTGGATGTCCTTAGAGGCCACAGGCCAGCTCAGCTCACCAGGCAACAGCTGGCAGGGCATCCTGTTCTCGCCTACAGTGTCTGTTCCAGGTGTCCTGGAAGTGGCCCCGATGGTCTTCGGGGTTCACCCCCACCCCCAGCCTCGTGGTCCCCTGGGGCTGCCACCACCCTGGCTCCAGGGGTAGTCATGGGGCCCCAGCCTGCATGTCGGAGCCCTGCGACGCCCAGGATCTCCTCAAGGATGTCAAGCGGCTCAAGATGGCTGTGGGCAGTGGCTCTCAGGCCTCGTGGGGAGAAGGGCGCTCTGTGTCTGCTGGAGGAGGAGCTGGGCGTGGCCGCTGGCCATCTTGCCAGCTCTCACCCCGAGCCTGCCCGGGAATGAAGTCTCCTTAGAGTTGAGCCACGCTGATGGCGGAAAGGCAGGCTGTTGAGGGCACCACAGGAGCGCCTGGATCCAGCCTTGCCTGAAGCCGTGTGTACCCTGAACTGCTCAGATCCATGAGCAGGACGTTCCACACCTTTTCTTCTGCTGGTCTGAGGTGGGCCAGTGCAACCATCTCTCTCAGGAAAACTGTTCTAGGAAGGCTCTCGCTGCATTCACCTCTTCTAGGTGCTCTCTGACCCCACGGGCACTGTGTTTGCCCCTCCCTTACAGACTCTCTCCCATGTAGACATACCTGCCCTGCCTTACAGTTGCTGAGTGACTGCCCATCCCTGCCACACCACAGGCTCCCTGAGGTCAAGGCCACATGACCCCAGGTACCTGAGGTCAGCTGCCTCCTCAGCTGTGAGCTGGCCCTGCCTCTCCAGGGCCTGCTGCTTGGCCAGCAGCTGGGCCCGCTCTTCAGACAAAGCCTCCTTCTCCTGCAGGGCCTTCTGGAGCGTGTCCATGCGGGCCTCCTGGTCTTGCAGGCTCTGGGCCAGCTGCTCCTTCAGGACCTGTTTCTTGCATGTGACCTAGGGGAGGGGGAGGGGAAAGTCCAGCAGAGAGAGTGGAAGTGTGAGGAGGGGCCTCTCCAGGGAAAAGAAGGACTTCAGAAAAAGTGGTTTCATGCAGAACTGCATGGAGGAAAGAGTGGAGGAGGAGGGTGGCTATGAGACATATTGGACCCCTGGTGCATGTGTGTTTTCACAGCAGAGGGACCTCCACTCCTGTCACCATGATGGAGAAATTATTGAACTGAGAAACCCCAGGCGGGACCCAGCTGCCAATCTAAATGGTAACCTCTGTTGGGCCACAAGTTTCTGGGGTCAGGAGACATGGCACAGAAGTGCAAAGAAGGTGACAGAGGAACAGATTGTTGCAGACTAACACCTCCACCAAGAACATCACAAAGATCTAGACAAAACCTATCACAGGAATCTGTGTAAGGCCTCAGAGAGCTGTCAAGGCAGCTGGGACTGAAGGAGCCAAGATCTTGGAGGAAAGGGAAGCAGAGGGGTGAGACCACCACTCAGTATCTCTTCTCTCCTCAGAGCATGTGCTGATTTAGAAGTCTGGGCTGAGCAATTGAGAAGCCAAGGAGGCGAGTTTACAGATATCAAAGCGGAAGGGTCCTGATAAACATCCCAGGTTTCTAGTTGGATTCACAGGAGGGCTTCATCCTAGCAGTGGTGGTGAGTCAGAATAGACTCTCCCTCAAAGAAGTGAAGCTCAGGTTTGAATCACCTCGATCATAGATTATGGTGATCATCTACCTTCACTGCCTGCCAGGATCAAAAGTAAATCCTCCTCCTCAGAAGAAGAGCAGCATCAAGATCCTCAAGTTATTTCTATAATTTTTTTTTTTTTTGCGGTACGCGGGCCTCTCACCGTTGTGGCCTCTCCCGCGGAGCGCAGGCTCAGCGGCCATGGCTCACGGGCCCAGCCGCTCCGCGGCATGTGGGATCTTCCCGGACCGGGGCACGAACCCGTGTTCCCTGCATCGGCAGGCGGACTCTCAACCACTGCACCACCAGGGAAGCCCTATTTCTATAATTTTTATGTATGATACTTGGCATTTAATCAACATGACCGGGCATATCAGAGACAGAATCATATGGCACAAAATCACATGCAAGAACATAAAATAGACACACTGCCTCCCTGTCCCCCTGGCTATCAGATGTTGGAGTTATCAAACACAGACTTTAAAATAATTGTGATTAACATGTTCAAGAAGATGAATGGTGAAATGTAGAATTTCACAACAGAACTGGACACTTAATATCAATAATATAACTTGAAAATACAATAACCAAAATTAATAGATGGGTTCAATGGCAGGTTAGATAGGATAGAAGACTAATAATCTGGAAGACAGACAAAAGAATGTACTAGATTGAATCATGAGGAGAAAAAAGGACGGAAAATATAGATAAGAGTGTAATAGATGTATAGGACAAGGCAAAAAGATCCAACATATGTGTAATTAGAGTTGCAGAGGGAGAGGAGAGAGAATATTTGAAGAGATATTGGACAAGAATTTCCCAAATCTAATAAAATACATCAAGCCACCAATTTAAAATGAGCCACAATCTTCCAAAAGGATAAAAACAAAGAAAATGTCACCTAGATATATCTTAGTAAAGTTTCTGTGAAAAGATTTTGAAAAAGAATATGTATTGGGTTGGCCAAAATGTTTGTTTGGGTTTTTCTGTAAGGTTACGGAATGTATATATACCCAATATATATATGTATAACTGAATCACTATGCTGTACACCAGAAACTAACACAATGTTGTAAATCAACTATACTTCAATTAAAAAATGTTAATAACATTTCAGAACAAAATTTTTAAAAAGTTTCTGAATACCAAAGGTAGAGAAAAAAATCTTTAAAAATCAGAGGAGAAAAACCACACATTACCTATAAAAGAGCTGCAGGAAGACTGGTGTTTGACTTCCAAAGGGCAACAGTGAAAGTCAGAGGACAATGGAATGAATTCATCAAAATGCTGAATGAAAATAATGGCTATTCTAGTATTCTATACCTAGTGAAAATATTCTTCATCAATAAACAACACAACTTTCTGCTTCTGCTAATGGTGAAGTAGGTTGTTGGAGACCAACCTTCCCGCCACAGCAGCTAGAAAAGCTGTACAGCACACCTCCGACAGATCTGTGCGAAGGACTTAGAGATACCAAGGCAGCCAAGACCCAAGGAGGTCCAATTACTGAGAGAAACGTGTTCAGGTGACCCTAATATTCTACCACAGATTTCCCCTTGAGGGATCTGTCATCTCCTAAGAGGCTCTGCGAGAGCCTCAGGAGCCACGGATGAAACCTTAGCTAAAGGGTTGGGAGGTGTCCTATGGCTTCAGCAGGCTTGTAAGACTGAAGAGACAGGATCTGGAGTTCAGAGCTACCAGAGCAGCCATAGCACAGGAGGCTAAGACATCAGAGAGGAGGTAAGTCTGAGATGCTGTACATTTAAAAAAATGGTACTTCCTTTTTATAACTCACAACAGTATAGGGCCAAGGGATTATGAATATGAACAGAAAGTGCAGTGGAGCATCTGGAATATCAGGCAGAACTTTCGGCAATCTCAGAATTGAGACAAAAACACCCGGAGTTCAGGGTGGGGGCCCTAGTTAGGAGCACAGGAGAGCCGTATTATACCGTGAGGTCAACACCCTGAGGTAGCTCACTCTTCAAAAAAGACTGAAACCAGTTACAAAACAGCTAAATCCAAGACTGGATAAAGGTGATCTGCTCTGACTCTGATATCCTAAAATGAAAAGCAAATTCCCTTTGGAAGAAGTTTATATCACCCAGAGCCTCAAATTAGCTCTACAAAACCTCAAAATCTGTCACTCAATAAAAAATTATTAAGCACCAGGAGATAAGGCCAAAGGACTGAAAACTAAGAGATAAAAGACAATAGAAATAGACCCAATTTGGGGGTCCAGATGTTGGAGTTATCAGACAAAGACCTGAAAAATATTATAATCAATGTGTTCAAGAACATACCCAAGAAGATGGAGAATTTCACTAGATAGCTGAAGTGTGTGTGTGTGTGTGTGTGTGTGTGTGTGTGTGTGTGGTTGAAGTGACCATTTGAAGCAGAAATATTAATAATGTATTATAGAGTTTATAACAACATATGTATAAATAAAATATATGGCAACAAGCCCTAAGGATGGGAGGGATAAAGGGAATATATTGTTGTCATGATTTTACATTGTTTGTGAAATAGTATAATGTTATTTTAATATAGACTGTGCATACCATAATTTTAAAGTAATCACTAAAATAATAACAAGAAGAAGTATAGCTAAAAAAATTAATAGAGAACATAAAATGGAATACTAAATAAATATGCAAGTAACCCAAAAGAAATCTGGAAAGGCAAAATGTAAAAATTTACAAAAAAATGAGATAAATAGAAAACAAACGCCTAGATGGTGAACTTGAACCAAGCATATCAACAGTTACCTTACATGTAAATGATGTAAACACTCCAGTTGAAAGGTAGAGATTGTCAGAGTAAATACAGAAGCAAGACCCGACACACTTCAAATATACAGACATAGAGAAATGAAGGTTAATGTATGGAAAGGATATAACATGGAAACAGTAAGTAAAGAAAGTTGGTGTGGCTATATCAATATCAGGAAAATTAGATATCAAGAAAACAAATGTTACCAAAGATAAGAGGGGACATTTTATAAAGATAAAAAGTCAGTTCAGCATGAAGACATAAAATACTAGTTCGTATGCTCCTAAAAATAGGAATTCAAAATATATGAAGCAAAAGTAGACAGAACTAAAGGTAGAAGTAGACAATTCCACAATCATAGAGATTTAAATGTCATTAATAGAACAAGTAGACAAAAAAAAATCAAACAAATAAAGCAAACAAACAAATAAACCCCATAAGGACACAGAAGACTTAAACAACAGTATCAAGCAACTTGACTTAATTGATATTTATAGGCACTACACTCAACAATGGCATAATACACATTCTTTTTACATGAACATGGAATGTTCAACAAAATAGCTAATATGCTGGGCCATAAAGCATGCTTCAATACATTTAAATCTGTTCAAATAATATGGAGTATATTTTCTGACCTTATTGGAATTACATTAGATGTTGATAATAATTAGATACTTAGGAAATTCCCAAATTTGGAAATTAGGTAATATATGTCTAAATAATCCATGGGTCAAAGAAGAAATCACACAGAGAATGAGAAAATAGTTTGAACTGAATGATAATAAAAACACAACAGGCAAAATTATTAGAATGCAGAAGAAACAGCCACAAGACCAAGTAGGAAATCTGAATAGCCCTATATCTAATAAATAATTAAATTTTTATCAAAACTTTTCTCACAAAGAAAACTCCAGACTTAAATGACTTCACTAGTGAATTCTACCAACATTTAAGGAAGAAACAGAAATTTTAAAACACTTTCAGGAAATAGAAGAGGAGGGAACACTTCCCAACTTATTTTGTGAGGCCAGCATAACCCACATTCCAAATCTGACAAAAACATTATGAGAAAAAAAATTATAGACTAATGTTCCTCATGAATATGGATGTAAAAATCCTTAACAAAACATTATGAAATTGTTTATCTCAGGTATGCAAGGTTGTTTTAACATTAAAAAATAAACCAATATAATTAGCTGTATTAACAGGATAAGAATGATGGCATGATCATCCTATCCTATCATTCAGGGAACACATTTAACAGAATTCAAAACCCATTCATAATTTTAAAAAAAAATCTCAGCATGCTAGGAATAAAAGAGAGCTTCCTCAATCTGATAAGAGGCACCTATGAAAAGCCTATAGATAACATCACACTTCATGGTGAAATATTGAATTCTTTCCTCGTAGTTGAGTTTGGTAGGAGGATGGCCACTCTCACTACTTCTTTTCAATTTTGTTCTGTAGGTCTTTAGCCAGTGAATTAAGAGCAGATGAGATAAAAGTCACTGAGATCAGAAAGGAAGTAAAACTGTTGTTATTCACAGATGACATGATTATGTACATGTAAAACGCTGGTGCTTATCAATGAATTTGTCAAGGTTGCATGATTGAAAGTTAATCTATGGGACTGTATTTCTATGTACTAGTAATGGACATAGGAAAATGAAATTAAAACGGCAAGGCACAATATCAAAACTAGGAATTAATTTAATCAAAGACGTGCAAGACCTCTACACTGAAAACTACAAAACACAGCTGAGAGGAATTAAGTAAAGAAAAAAATGGAGAGATATACCATGTTCATGGATGGACAACTAGATACAGTTAAGATGTCCAGTCTTCTCAAATTGATCTATAAATTCAACACAATCCCAATCAAGGTTCTACCAGGCTTTTTTGGGTATAGAAATTGACAATCTAATTCTCAAATGTATATGAATATGCAAAGGTTTGAGAACAGCCAAACAATCTTGAAAAGAAGGATAAGATGGGAATACTCACATTACTTAATTTCAAGACATTAAAAAGCTACAGGAATGAAGACAGTGCAGTTTTGGTGAAAGGATGAACAAATAGATCAGTTTGCACAGATCAACAATATGATCTGGGCACATATATGCACGTGTATGATCGATTTATTTTCAACAAGTTGCCAAGATAATTCAAGGAGGAAAGGAAAGTCTTTTCAAAAATTGGTGCTGGAACAACTGGATATTAGTATGAAAAATAATGGACTTCGGTTCCTACTTCATACCACACACCTGTGGTTCTCACACCTTAATGTGCATCAGAATCACTGGGAGGGATAATTAAAATCCAGATTTCTGGGCCCCACCCACAGAGTTTCAGATTCAGTAGGTTTTGGGAGGGCAGTTGAGAATTTGCATTTTAAACAAGTTCTCAAGTGATACTAATGCTGCTGGTCTGAGGAACACAGTTTGAGAACCACTGCTGTACAGAAAAATCAACTTGAAATGGATCATAGACCTAAGAGCTAGATGAAAACAGAGCAGGATATTGTCTCGTCCTTGGGCTAGGCAAAAATTTTTCAGACAGTCCCTAGAAAACACTAACCATAACTTTTTAAAAAACTTGGTAAACTGAATCTTGCCAAAGTTAAACTTTTCTGTCCATCAAAAATACCATTAAGAAAATGTATAGGCGAGTCACAGAAATGTGAGTACATCTGTCTGGCAAAGTACTTTTATCCAAGATATATAAACTCCTATATATCCATAACCAAAATATGAAAACCCAATAAAAATAGGCAATAGACTTGAATAGTTACCTGACAAAATAAGGTATGTGAATATTTAGTAAGCACATGAAAATATGCTTGATGCCATTTGTTATCAGAAAATGCCAATTAAAACCACAATGGCGGGCTTCCCTGGTGGCGCAGTGGTTGAGAGTCCGCCTGCTGATGCAGGGGACACGGGTTCGTGCCCCGGTCCGGGAAGATCCCACATGCCGCCGAGCGGCTGGGCCCGTAAGCCATGGCCGCTGAGCCTGCGCGTCCGGAGCCTGTGCTCTGCAACGAGAGAGGTCACAACAGTGAGAGGCCCGCATACCGCAAAAAAAAAAAAAAAACCCACAATGGCGTATAACTTCACACACACAGAATAGCTAATAAATAAAGACGGACGATGCCAAATGTTGACGAGGCAGAGGAGCGGCTGGAAGCCTCCCACGCTGCTGGTGAGTAAAATGATACAACCACTTTGGAAGACTGCTTGCCGGTTCCTTATAAAGTTCAACACACACCTACCCAGTGACTCCACAATTGCACTCCTATGTATTTACTCAAGAGAAATGAGGATATCCATACGTGACTTGACCATGAATGCTCATCGCAGTCTTGTCCACTCCCAAAATGGAAAAAACCCAGAAGTCCAGCAGCGGGTGAATGGATAAGCAAGCGTGGTTTATCCGTATGATGGAATATTACTATGCAGTCAAAAGGAAGGAGCTCTTGATACACCTAAGAACGGGGATGACTCTCAAAGACGTCGTGTTGAGGGAGAGAAGCCGGGCTCAAAAGAGTCTATGCCCCATGGCTCCATTTACAGCAAGGTCTAAAACAGGTCAGGGCAGAGGCCACCTGGGTGGCCGTGACAGGAGGGAGCCTGCTGGGCTGGTGGAGACACTTTGCATCCTGATTGTGGTGGTGGCTACACAGGTGCTTACAACTGTCAAAAACTGTGCACTGGCTTACTGAGTGTAGTCACCCTTTGACTAAAAAAAGAGGAAAAGATGACCCCAAAAAGGCTAGGACAGAGTCTGAGAAACAGAAAGAGGCTGGACTGAGTCCCAAAGGTGACAGACCATGAAGTCTGAATGCCACTGGGGGCCGGAGACGCTGCAGAGACAGGGTTTCCATGTGGACCGACAAGGCTGATGTCAGGAGAAAGCAAAGGTGCTGCAGCGTCTCCTCCCAGGGAGTCTGACCTCCTCCATGGAAGATCCACGTCAGCAGATTTGGGAATGGACGCAGGAATGTATGAGCGAGTGAGTGGTGGGGCAGCTCTTTTGTGTGGATGTGGTCCAGGAAGGAGAGAAACAAGACAACGGAGGAGCAGTGCAGCCTTCCCCCCGAGTGTGTGAGCACCAATGGGCCCGAGGCCTTCGACCCTCTGACCAGGGGAGAACCCAGCCCCCGGATGTTGGGGACAGGCCTGATGTAAAGGTCCTTCTTTGTGTGTTCCTCCCCCGTTCCCCGCCTCCCAGCCCTGGAGACGGTTTCGAATCAGCCACGTCAGGCAGCATTGCAGTTAGAAAGTGCTGGTGCTGACATACATCCTGAACCAGCGCGACTTCCAAAGGTGCCGTGTGCCCGGCTACCCCAGAGGCAGCGGTGGCCCTGCTGGGTGGGGCTGGGGGCCTGGGGCCCTGCGGACCCCTCATCTGGCCCACCTGCTCCAGCTGCCGCCAGAGGGGCAGGGAGGGGTCCATGTGCAGGCCCTGCCCCCACACCCTCAGACCCCAAGTCCAGGAGGGGAGAAAGTGGGGAGAGGATGGGTGAAGGGAGGGCCCTGAGCTCGCGGGAGCAGGGCGGGGGCAGGAACTTACAGCCACGCTGCGGAAGCGAGGCTCAGGCAGGGTCTGTCCCCCTGGGCCCTCGTCTCACCTGCAGGACCAGGTGGCTCAGGGAGCCTTTGTCCCGAGCCAGCCCCGCCATCAGGGCAGCCATGTCAGCCAGGGAGTGTCTCTGCTCCACTCCCTCCGCCTTGAGCTGGCACACGAGCAGTTCCAGGTTGGTTTTGCTGGACTCGGCCTGCGGGGGGCGGGAGGGTAGAGGGCACCCCAGCGGGGAAGCCAGGGAGGGACTTTCAGGTTCATGGGCAGAGCTTCCCCTGGGCAGAGCTGTTAGCACCGGGGAGGGAGTGAGCGCCGTATCACAGAGGTGTGTGAGCCGGCGCTCTGGGTGGGGCGTGGTGGAAGGGGGCCCACGGTGGTGAGGCCTCTGGGGCAGACGGTGGTCCCTGGGTACAAGGCTGAAGCCAGGAGAGGTGACAGGGTGACCGAGGGAGGGGGCACCCTGAGAGAAGGTGTGCCCAGTGCTCAGGGAAGGTGGGCTGGTGCCCACTGGCCAGGGACCCAGGAGGCCACCGCTGAGTTTGGGGGCTCTGGGAATGGCCTGAGGGCCCAGGCAGCAGGGAGAGAGGAGTGGAAGTCGTACCTGGGCCAGGGCCCTGCGCAGAACCTCCCCCTCACTCTCCAGGACATCCCTCTGCAGCCGCACTGTGTCCAGCACCTCCTGGGCCGACACCAGCTCCTTCTTGAGCCCCGAGACCTTCTCCTCCAGCTGCTCCAGGCGCCCTTGACTGAGACCCGGAAACCAGAGGGCAGAGGGCGCTAGGTCACCTCAGGGCGAGATGGGGGCCCGGCAGGCGGGGCAGCTCCCTCCAAGCCCAGGGGCCCCAGAGGAGCGCGGCTCGCCCTGCAGGCCAGGAACCGCTGGGCCCTTTCTGGATGGGGGTGGCACTGTCAGCGAGGCCTGGCCCACACGCCTGGGTGAGCAGCGCGGCACACACGCTGGGGCACCCCTCTCGGCTGGGCCCTCTCGGCTGGGCCCAGGGTGGTGGATTTGCCCCGGGGGTGGCGCTGGGCCGGACTTGGGGTGGGTGTCTGGGTGGGAGTGGGGGCCGGCCGCCGTGGGCGGGGCCTGCTGTCTCGCTAGGCACCCCGACCCCTGAGACGAGGCTGGTGCAGAACAGGTCGCATCAACAGCGAGGACGCCGGGGCCCCGAGGGGACGGGACAGCCCGCTGGTGGCGGCGCGGCGCCCCTGCCCTCCAGCTCCCTCCGGCCCTGCTTCACCAGCTCCGCCTTCTGCCCCGCCCCGCGCAGGAGGCTTCTCTGCAGCCCCGCGCGCCTGGCCTCCAGACTCTGCCGCTCCTTGTCGGAAACATCCACCGTCCCCTCAGCTCCTCCACACCCCCTCCAGAGCTGCCTCCTCTCTGGGAGCAGGGGAGGAGAAGCCTTGGGGTCCCGGGCGTGCAGCGGGGAGGGGAGCCCAGGGACCCTCTCTGGGCGCATTCGAGCCTCGGCCGAGTACCGGGAGGGTAGACGGGGCGCGGGGGGCCGTAGAGGCCACTCGGGGCCGGGGCTCAGGGACAAGTGAGGAGGGACGAGAAGACCCAGCGGCTCGGCCCCTGGCTGCCCTGTCCCCTGGGGCGGCCACCTGCGGGCTTGCCTGTCTCCTGGTGGCCCTGTGGGGGTCCCTAAAGCCCTGGAGGGCCTTGCGCCCGGGGTGTCCCTGCCCTCGGCCTCCGCACCTGCAGAACCCAGCGGGGAGGAGGGGCGCCTGCCCGACGGGAACCCCACAGCTCCAGGTCTGCTTGCGCTGCTGACCTCCCCTGACGGCCGAGCCTTGTCAAAGCTGTGCTCGCTGCTGACCGCCCCCCCCCCCCGCCCTGGCCAGGTCCTCTCTGCCGGTCACCCACCAGACAGAGTTGCAGTCTCAGCAGCTCTCCCCCGGCCGTGCTCTGTAGCACCGAGGCCTGAGGCCCCATTTCCCAAATGTCCCTGGGATTCAGCCCCTCCTTCCCCGGTGCTGAGGGGCCACTCCAGCCTGCCCCGCTCCCCCCGCCCCAGGACGCTGTGGCCAGACCAGCCCTGCCAAAGCCACGGCTGTGAGGGCGGCGCCCCCGCGGCCCCCCGTGACCTCTGCTTCTTGGCGTGGTGAGGGGGCCCCGCCTGCCTTGCTCTGCACCCCACTCCTGCTCCTGTCTCCCCCTGGCAAAGCACTTCCCGCCCCCTGGGGGCCCCCGCTGGCTCCTCCGCTCCCGGACCCCTGTGCCAGGCTGAACCCGCCTGCTCCCATCTCTTTGCCCATCTCCCGTGCGTTTCTCCAGAGCGGGACCGGGATGAATTTTTTCTTTGGACCTCCTGTCTCAGAACCGAGTGCGCTGTCAGGACACCCGGAGAAGGGGCGGCCCCGAGGGACCTGCAGTCCCAACCCCCCGGGGTGAGCGAGGGGAAGCACAGGAGGTGGTCCTGTCTGCCCCTGTGTCGCTCCCTCTTGCAGGAAGCCTTCCTGGGCCGCCAGCCCACTCCCCGTCCCATCTCCCGGCTCGGGCAGTGTGTGGATTTGGGAAGGCCCACCGAGCCTCTCACTCAGGACTATAAATCCTGGGGAATTCTCTTTCCAGGTCTTCACCCCCACCGGCCCCAGGGCAGTAAGACGTGCACAGAAGAATCCAGACAGCCTCACGGCCGACTGCACCACGGAACAGCACATCCGCAGGACACGCCAGGAGGGCACGCGGGGCCACCCCAGTTGATGGGGCGGGAGTTGGGGTTTTATGGACCACCTGTGAAGGCTGGGTAAGACCCCCGGAGGAGTCCTGGCTGCCAGCGGGGAGGTGGGAGAGAGCACAGCGTGCTCCCAGGAGGGGAGTGTGGAAATGGGCCGGGCAGCCGGGAGCCTGGGATGCAGGCCAAGGGGCAGGCACGTGCTCAGCCTGGGCTTTGGGAGGGTGAGTCCTGGGGAGACACAGCCCAGACGGGCCCAGACGAGGGAAGAGGGGCTGGGCTCAGTGCAGGCAGGGGCTGGGGGGTGAAGGGGCGAGGAGGCAGCCTTCGGGCCAGGAGTACTTCCTGTCCGGGAGATGGCCCTCACTTCTCCTGCGGGGGGCATCGTGGAGAAGGTGAGCCCAACCCGCCAGCCTCACCTTCCCCGGAGCTCGCTGGACTCCCGGCAGCGCTGCGCCCCCAGCTTGCCCAGGAGGACCTGGCGCTCCCGGGCCTGCTCCTGCCTCAGCTCCTGCAGGAGCCTCCGCGAGGCCCGCAGCTCCCGCTGGCTCTCGGACAGCTGCTTGTGGAGCCCGGTGGCCGCTGCCTCGGAGGACTCCAGCTGCCGGCGCAGCTCCTGCCCACGAGTGGGAGCGTGGCGTGAGCCCCGTGGCCTGGCCAGGCCTTCAACCACAGAAGCCAGTGGGGCTCCCGACTGCCCGAGAAAGGATGCACTTCAGACCGGAGACCCTGCCCGGGGTGTGGGGTTCAGGGGCAGGCGCCTGGTGGGCTTTGTGGCTTTGCTCCGGTGGGGACGGGGCACAGCGTTGCCTCTGTGGCCGCCCACCTGCTCCCGCTGCCGCCGCCTCTCAATGACCACCTGCACAGCCCACAGCACAGGGTCCAGGGCGGCCGGGGAGCAGCCCCGTGGGGGGAACGCGGCCCGTGGGGGGCTCCTTGGTTGGCCCTGCGCCTCCTGGCCTTCGGTGCTGCCGCTCCAGGCTGGCTCCGGACACCCCACGTCTGCCTGCGCCACCTTCAGGGTGCAGGGAGGAAGTGGGGGAGGGGAGAGAGCGCAGGGCTGAGGTCGGATGGGTCCTTCCAGAGCATCTCCCGGGGCTGCTCGAAGCACCAGGACCCTGCAGCCCCTCCGCTGCTCCACGCGGGAAGGACCTGGGACGGGCCCGCACCTTTGTGATGCTGTCCAAGGTGAGCTGCAGGGATTCCGCCTCAGCCCTCAAGTCTCCCGGGGCCCGCCGGCCTCCACTGCGATGGGACTCCTGCTGGCGGGGGGAGGCTGCTCAGCGGGGCCCGGATTCCCCCACCACGAGCCGCCCCTCTCCCAGTGCCACGCACCAGCTCCTGAACCTCCGTTCTGAGGGAGGAGATGGTTTCCTCCTTGTCCGCGTTCTGCTCTGTGAGCTTCCTCACCAGCAACGTCTGCTCCCAGAGTCTGGAGAGAAGTCGGGGTGGGGTCGTCAGTGCAGAGAACAGAGGCCGGGACACCGGCGGGCCCTGGAACCCCCCGGCCCCGTCGGCCACCTCCTGGGGTGCGGCCTGCCTGCTGGCTTCGGCCGCCTCTGCCTGCGTGGACCTTAGTCCCGCTCCAGTCAGACACCTCTCTTCTGCTCTAGAACCTGCAGTGGCTCCCGCTGTCTCAGGGTAGAGCGCAGAGCCCGAGTGCAGCACTCAAGGCCCCCGCTCTGACCCTGACTCAGCTCTCTAGCCCCACAGCGTGGCTTCCCAAGGCCCTGCTCTGTCTTTGGGGTGTGGCAGGTGCCGTGCTCACCTCTGGGCTTTTGTCCCGGCTGGTCCCTCTGCCTGGAGCTCCTCTGCCACCGTAAGTCTAATGGTCTTTCCTTCCCGGGACCGCCTTCTTCTCAAAGACCCCTGGCTGCCCCCCAGTGCCCGGGCCTCCCTTCCCGTGGGCCCAGAGCCCTCGGCTCAGGCCCCGGGCACTGAACCCTCGGGCTGTGCTGGACCGCCCGTACCCCCGGGCCCGCCGTGGCTCTCCTCCGGGGCCGGCTCCGGTGTGTTGGACTCACTGACCCCGAGGGCGCTTGTGACCACATGAGCCCCAGGTCCCGTGGAACAGAGGCCCGTGGCAGCGTTAGGAGCTGCCTCCTGTTTCCTGCAGAAGCTGTCCTCACGAGACCTTCGAGCGCCACACGTGAGTTCCGTGTCCAGAACCTCCCACGATAACTGGGGGTGGACCCCGGCCCCTCTGGGGGCCCTCAAAACAGGCGCCCAGCCCTGAAAGGATAGGCCTTTTAGGCCTGAAAATTCCACTTCTGGAAGCAGCCATGGGGAAACGGTCCGAGTACACCCAGGGCAGTGTTCACAGAGACGCGCCCAGTCGCAGGGCGCTAGCTCTGCCTCCAGGGGATGGTGGGTAAGGAGGTCTGGGCCCGCCTGCCTTTGCCACGAGGTGGCGATTATGAGCCGTGGGCGGCCTCAGGGCAAGTGCCCCAGTGTCAGGGTGTGGGGTGAAATCAGGAGTTACAACTGCACGTGAGTGAAGTCCCAGACCCGCGGCCGCTGGGCAGATGGGTGGGCGCGGCGACCGTCCCCGCCCCCCACCCCTGACCTCCTGCACCCACCTGGCCTGGAGTGCCACCTTCTCGGCGTCCCAGCGACCCCGCACATTGTCCTGCAGCTGCGGCTCCAGGCCGCTGGCTGTGTGGCTGGCCGTCAGCCGCAGGTTGGAGCCGAGGTTCAGGCAGGCCGTGTGCAGGCGCTGGGCCGTCCTGGCCACGTCCACTCGCATGTCAGCGAGGCCCCTGGGAGACAAGGGCGGCACTCCGCTGAGCCTCGGGGCTGCCTGTGGCTTGGCCTGGAGGCTCCACGCTGGGTGGCAGAGGTAGGGTCTGGTGACAGGCCTGCGGCAGACCCCTCCCGTGCCGTCCTCAGGGGAGGCCCCGCCGGGTGGTATCTCGGAGGGGCAGGGGTGAGCGGGGGATGGGCCAGGCCGGACAGGACAGGCTGTCCACCTTGAGCAGCACTTCCACCCTCTGAGCCTCAGGGGCCCAGGGTGGACCGTTGGAGGTTCTCGGCAAGGGCCGGGGGGGAAGCCAGAGTCCCTGCGGGTGGATCCGGCCCCTGACGCTGCATCTCCCTAGCCTGCCTCTCTTCTCTCCCCTGCACCCTTGCCTGCCTCACTCTGTCCATCCGTCCATCTTCTCCACTGCCCACCTCTGCTGCTGTCTCCACCACTCCCATCGGGCCACCCGTGGGAGGAGTGTGGTGGGCCCGATGCCTGGGCATCAGGTGCCCTTCTCCCCGACCCTGATGGAGCCCACGCCTGGCTCTGGGTGGGCAGGGTGGCTGGCACGCACCTCTCGGTGGCTGCACGCAGCTCAGCCAGGTGTCCACGGAGGGCTGTGACCTGTCTCTGCAGGAGGAGGACATCCTGGTGTCCCACCGTGCGAGTACACTGGGTCTGAAAGCAAGAGGCTTGCGTCCACTGCAGGCGGAGGCCAGGCGCTGAGGGGTGAGGGGAGCCCTGCGGCCCCATTCACCCGCCCCACAATCTGGTCCTCCGGCTCCAGGCGGGCGGAGTGCAGACCCTCATCGCTACCCTCCTGCATGTGGCACCTACCCCACTGGCTTAACTTACTGAGCAATGCAACTCGCCCCCGTCCCCGGGAGGCAGTGCTTTGCTCCCCTCCCCAAAGGACCTGGGGAGGTGACCACTCCCAGGTCCAGAACCAGGCCCCACTCAGCCTGGTTTCCCTGATGGGGCTGTGGGCAGCACTCAACTCCCGCCCTCCAGCTGGGGGGTTGGGAGCACGACACAAGGAAAAAGGCCTTGCCTTCTCCAGGACCTAGAGAGCAGTGCTTACTCTCGGAGGGCCCCTAGGATGTCGGGAGTGGGGCCTGGCCCTTCAAGGTGGCAGGGAGGCAGAAGCCTCTGCCAGTAGGAGCCCATGCAGTGGTAGGGGTGGGGGAGCCACCCTGAGAACAGGCGGAGTGAACAAGGTTGTAAGGTGCAGTGAGAGCCCACCGCTGGGCTGTGAACGGGGAGGGGACGGGGTGGAGAGTTGGGGGCAGGAGTGGGATGGGGTCATGTGCGGTCAGCGGCGCCAGCCTCGCAGGGAACTAAGCTGAAGCCCAGAAGGTCCTGAGTCCCCCCACCACCTTCCCAGCCCCTGCACTGGGCTGTGTCCTGAACACTGACCTCCAGGGACCCCCGGGGGGCTCACCACCACACCCAGTGCTTTCCAGGGCTCCCAGGGCCCCTCCTGCCTGTTACAGCCCCACCCGAGGCTTTTCAATGTTGCTTCAAACAAAGCACTTTCACATCCTGCCGGTCCTCCAGCCCAGGACCCACACGCTCACCTGCTACTTCATGAAGCCTTTGCCGATCGCCCTCCCCTGAGCCCCCATCTGAGGTGCCCCCCATCGAGCCCAGAAACACCCTGCTGTGTACCTTGTGTAGGGAACGCCCTTTGCGCCTAGTGCCAGAGCCTTGTGTATACTTGCACCCCACCCCCCAACTGTGACCATCAAAGAGCAGGGATTAGACATCCCTCCTGCTGACACGAAAAGCGGACTCCTGTCCCTTCTGCCCACTGAGACAGTGGAATACTTGAGATTCCACACTTTACAACTTCTTGAATGCAAGGCTGGGCGGCCGGTATGGTAAGGGACACGCAAGCCAGGAACCAGTAAACTCAGGGACTCGAGGGGGACTTGCCAAACAGTAACTTGAATACGCTTCCTTGACCACAGGGGCTCTGGGGACAGAGAGGAAAGCTTAAGGTCCACCCAAGGGGGAGTCTGCTCACATGTGGAGTGATCCCCCAAGCTGCACTCCAGGTAAGGTGTGCTAGAGATGGGCGAATCAGCACACACGTGTGCACGCACACACACGCACACGCGCACGTACACAGCTGCTTGCAGGGTGCTATAACGAGGTGCCGTGGACGGTGAACAAGCGCACACACACACACACACACACGCACACACACACCTGCCTGCAGGGCGCTGTAAAGAGGTGCAGTGTCCCCCACAATTCACATGTTGAAACCTAATCCCCAACATGATGGTATTTGGAGGTGGGGCTTTCCAGTTCCACCTTCAGGATTGGTGTTAGTGTCCTTATAAAAGAGGCCCCACGAGGGTCCAGTCCCTTCTGCCATGTGAGCTTACAGCCAGGAGGTATCGTTCTGTGACCAGGAAGCGCTCTTCACCAGCCGAAGGGCCTGGCGCTTTGATCTTGGACGTCTAGGCTCCAGAGCTGTGAGAAGTAAATGTCTGTGGACAAGCCCCCAGGCTGGGGTATTTCTGCTACAGTGGCCTGGAGGGGCCAAGACAGTAAGGAAAAAATCTCCCTGTGGTTTTGGAACCACAAGTTAGCCTTGGTGCAGTTTTCAGCCTGGATTCACAAAACCTGGGTGGTTTAAAAAAAATAATAAAGCTGAAAATTTACTTCAATGTGGCCCAAAGGTTGTCAGAGCCCCTAAGAACCTGTCCTAAGCAAATGACAGTCCTTTCTGGAGCATACCACATTCATTCCAGGTTTCAAAGAATTTTGAGTCCCAAGGATAACACGCAGCTCTTAGATAAAATTTTTTTAAAAAAAACCACCAAAGACACAAGGAAACACAGCACCATGACCAAGACCTAGCAGAAACAATAGACTCACACCTTGAAGAAGTTCAGACATTAGAACGTCAGATGCAGACTACAAAATAATTGCTTCCTAATATCATCAACGAACACACAGGAGGCTTGAAAATACCAGTTAAGAGTAAGATAGCTGGAAAATATACAGAATAAGCGTCAGAATTTCTAAAGATGAGAAACACAACGTTTAGAATTCAAGCCTAACAGGCAGGTTTAAGGGCGGTTGGACACCAGAAGAGAAAACTGATGACCAGGAGGGTAGATTCGAAAAAATTATCTACCACATAGACCAGGGGGGTAGAAGGAAGGAAAGTCTGGGAGGTTAAGAAGCGTGGGAGGGAGCACGGGGATGGGTAAGGTCCACGGGGCGGGAGAGGACAGGGGAGAGCGGGACGTGGGTGACACTGAAGGAGGTGACGGCTGCTTGCCAAGGACAAGGGAAGCGCGGCATCCTGATGAGTCCTCAGCAGGATAAACACAAAGAAACCTGCGCATCTGCGGCGGGAAGCTGGCAGGAAGCTGGCAGGATGCAGTCACAGAGAGCGGCAGCTCACAGCGGCCACGGCAAGAGGACGACGCCCTCCGTGGCGGGCCAGCAGACAGAGGACGGAAGAGCCGCCGGCCGGCGGCCAAGGGGGAATAAAGACCCTCGATAAACCAGTGCCAAACTGGACCCGAGGCCCATCTCCAGGGCATTTGTTTCCCTAGTGGCCAAGGTGAGGGCGTGATGTGTCTCCCACGTCTCCCCAACCCCACGTGGGAGCCCGGCCATCGACGACCACCCTGTGATGACAAACGCATATTCCCTCTTGGCGTTCCGTCCCCGTGCCTGGGTGGCTGCAGCAGGAGGGGCCGCTAGGCTTCTGACCGGAACAGCTGTCCAGCAGGAGGAGCTCTGTCCACACAGTGGGGTTGGGCCTCTCACCCCGCCCGATCCGTGTGGGAAGTGCCGAGACGGCCCCTCTGAGATGGGCTTGTCCGAGGGACACCTGTGCAGGGTCAGCCTGAGGCCCAGGCACCCAGGGACCTGCTCGGCCTCTGCTCCTGCCACGTCTGGGGAGAAATCCTGCCCATGGGGCCCGCGGCAGACGCTGGGAGGTCCATGGGGACATCCAGGGACGATCGGAGCAGAGGTTGCAAGCCCAGCGGGGATATGGACAGGCAGAGGCGTGGGGTGACCCGTCTCAAATATGTCCCCTACCTCAAGCTGGACGTCCTGCCCCAGTGACCAGCCCGGGATGGTCAACACAGTATCTCCCCCCAGCAAGGCTGAGGCCTGGAGCCCCGTGCCCTGACCCCGTGCCCCAGGGCTGTGGGTTTCAGAAGAGGCTGCGTGGGCCCTGCTGGGTTGGCCAGGGAGTAGGGGGCTGTGGTGCGGCCCAGGCTCCTGAGTCTGACCCCGAGTCGGGCCTGTGGAGACTCTTCTCTCTAGAGCAGCTCGGCCACACCAGAGCCAGGGCTCGGCCCTCACTCTACTTTCCAAGCCCAGCCAGGCGTCCTTCTCTCAAAGCGGGGGTCTTCCCGCACAGTGTCCCCCACCCTGCAGACTAATGTGGCCAAGCCGAGTGGGGGACATGGTGTGGCGGGAGGCCAGGGGCCTTGCCCCCAGGAGGGGCCATAGCAGAAGCCAGCTCGCCGTTTCCCTGTTCCTGCCCCCCACCCCGACCCCGGCCACGGGCACCAGACCAGGCATGCCCCTGCCCACGGGCGAGAGCTGGGGATCACCTCTCTCTGGGTCCAGCGCTGCCTCTCCCGCAGCTCCAGCTTAGCCCGCAGGCGGAGCATGCTGCACGTCGAACCCGCCAGCTCCTCGACCAGTCTGTCGTTGGCCTTCTTCATGTGTCCTAGCTGCTCCCGCAGGAGGGTGTTCACCTGGGAGAGGCCGGTGCTCCTGTACGGGCAGGGACGGAGCGGCGTGGCCATGGGCGGGTGGCCTCTCCCTACAGACGTGCTCAGACAGCCGGGCCCCGAACCTCCTGGGCCCAGACGACCCCAGCTCGACTGTGCAGCGCCCAGACTGCCCCTAAGAGGCACTGGACACCTGCAACGGTCCTCAAACGGGGGCCAGCCTCTGGGTGCCACCCCGGCACGCCCCCTCCTGCCCTGACTTGCTTGCTCTCCCCACCTTCCCCCCCTCTGGGCTCCCCTGGCTCTGCCACACACCTGTGGCTGGCTCCTAACTCCAGGGTGTGGGGGTGACCCCGAGACCAGCACGAGGGTTAGGGCTTGGGAGCCTGGCCGAGGGTACCAGGGCTGGGAAGGTACCCTGCCGCGCAGGGCTGGGGCAGAGGGAGTCAGGCCTGCCCCGTGGAGGGGGCAGCCCCTCTGGGACCGTGGGGGTCTCTCTCCACCCAGGGTAGTCTGCATGTGGCTGCAGTCAGGGACCCCAAAACCTCTGGAGCCCGTACCTCCCGGCTAGCCACGCGGCCACAGGGACTTCCTCTGTTCCTGTCTGCTCTGTGGGCATCAGCCTCCTCTTGGCTTATTTACCAACACCCTCCACCCCCCTTCTCCAAAACTGGTTTTCAAAATGCTTCTCAGCACTTTTCTTCCTTATCCAGAGTCCCTGAGGATGAACCAAGGCCGGGAAGTCTTCCACAAATGGCTTAACCTTCCCCAGGTCTGGAGACAGAGCTGGCCGTGGAGTGGAGGCTCATCCCTCCCGCTGGCCGCCCTGCAGGGAACGTGGAGAGATGCCCTTCCCTTCCGGGGCCATGTCCTGGGGCTTGGGGCTACCTCCGGGGGGGCTGGGGTATGACACACACTTACCAACGGTGCACAAGTGAGCCCGATCATGAAATCAGAGCGGCTTGAAGCCAAAGGGGCCTGGGAGTCAGGGCTGGAGTGTGAAGTGGACTGGGACTGAGGGGAGAACCCTCGGGCCCCCCAGGATTGGCCAGGCCAGCCGAGGGCCAGGAGCAGCTCAGGCGGCCTTCCTGGAGTTCAGGCCAGAGCCGCGGCCTCAGCAGGCGGTGGGGGCCTGGGGTGACACACGAGGGAGCAGAGGGCCAGGGAGGCCCCATGACCTGTGGGACCTGCACTCTCGCCTGAGGCCCTGGGGGTGCTCCTCCTCCCCGCACTGCCCCTCCCCGTGCTGCCCCTCCCTGTGCTGCCCCTCCCCGTGCTCCTCCCCCTGCTGCTCCCCGTGCTGCTCCTCCCCATGCTGCCCCTCCCTGTGCTCCTCCCCCTGCTGCTCCTCCCCCTGCTGCTCCCTGTGCTGCTCCTCCCCGTGCTCCTCCTCCCTGTGCTGCTCCTCCCGTGCTGCTCTCTGTGCTGCCCCTCCCCATGCTGCTCCTCCTCGTGCTCCTCCTCGTGCTCCTCCTCCCCGTGCTGCTCCTCCCCCTGCTGCTCCCTGTGCTGTCCCTCCCCGTGCTCCTCCCCCTGCTGCTCCTCCCCCTGCTGCTCTCCGTGCTCCTCCTCCCCGTGCTGCTCCTCCCCCTGCTGCTCCCTGTGCTGTCCCTCCCCGTGCTCCTCCCCCTGCTGCTCCTCCCCCTGCTCCTCCCCGTGCTCCTCCTCGTGCTCCTCCTCCCTGTGCTGCTCTCCGTGCTGCCCCTCCCCGTGCTGCCCCTCCCTGTGCTGCTCCGCCCCGTGCTGCCCCGCCCTGGAGTCACCTGGGAAGAGGTGCCAACAGCCCCACAGCACAGTGGCGTCTGCAGTGACGGCCGAGCTCCCTGCTGCCCCACTGCCCTGCCTGCCTGGCCTCACCTCTGCTCGGCAGCCTCTAACCGGCCGAGGGCTTCCTCCAGGTCGACGCTGTGCTTCTGCTCTGACCTCTGCAGCCGAGCCTCGGTGGCCTCCAGCCGGGCCTGCGGCTGGAGAGGGGCATTAACCCACCTGGCTGGACACTTCCAAGCCCAGCGGGCTGGGCAGCTTTGGCACAAAACCCTCCCAGGGACGGGTGAGAGGGCTCCCCTTCGGTCCGTAGTTGGGGCGGGGCCAGGCTGGGATAAGGGCTGGGGTCGAGCTGGGGTCAAGCTGGGTCTGCTAAGACGGGTCAGGCGGGCAGCCATCCGTGCCATGGTCCTGTGCCATGTGCCCACGGCTGGCGGAGTGGGGGGCCAGGCTCTTGTCCGGCCACATAAGGGGTAGGACGGCCGAGATGCAGAGCTGGCCTGGGGTCACCCCCATGGGAGTGAGTGAGCTTGGGGTCCCGCCCCTGCAGCTGCCCTCCTGCCTGTGCTCGACCCTCCGTCTGCTCCCAGCCCCTCATCCAGCGGGTGGGTGGGTACCACACCCCCAGTAAGTGGGCCTGGCAGGGAGGGGAGCCCCCCAAATTGGGTCAGGCGGCCCCCGAGCCTGCTGGAGCCTGAGCAGATGGGGACCCGGGGCTCTGAGGGGAAAAGGCAGTGCTGGGGGCCCCGACCCGAGGAGGCCGGCTGGTGGGGGGCTGAGGCAGGTATGTCAGGAGAGCTGAAGGGCACCCTTGTGGCACGACATGGGGCCTGAGTACAGGGAGGTGAGTGGCCCCCGCAGCTACCAGTGGGATTGGAGAGGAGGGGCCAGGGGTCCAGCCGAGCCGAGGGGCCTGGGCGGGGGCTGGAGTCTAGCCGGGATGGAGGCGCCCACGGAACAGTCACACGGCCCCCTGCTACCACCATCCGCCCCGCCCATCTGCTTGGGGAAACCTGGGGAGGCTGGGCCCCTCTGTGGCCCTCACAAGAGGTGCTGAGCCGCCTGCCGGAGCTGGCACAGGCCTGTGAGTTCAGAGCTCACTGACTCACGAGGTTTCCCAATCGGCCGCAGGATTTCTGCAGCTTCTATTCCCATAGGGCCTCTAGTTCCCAACATCTCCCCACCCTGTGCTAGGAAGATCCTCGCCCCGCCCCCGCCTGCGCAGGGCCCAGGGTGGGTGGGAGACATCGTGCCAGGATGAGGAGGGCCTTCCCAGTCCTGCCCGGGGGGGGGGGGGGCTGGTGATGAGAACAGGTGTGACAGTTCGGGGTGGGGGCAGGGAGCCCCTCCCTCTGTGGGGCTGGCGACGCCGCCTATCCCAGGAAGCCTTCGGAACCCTCGAGGAGACGAGGCTGACCCAGGGCCCTCGGGCATTCGGCACTGGTCACTGGTCATGCCGGAGAAAGACCTGAGTCAGGTCTCAGTCCCCCCAATGGCAGTGTGGCCCTGGACAACTCGGACTAGCTCTGAGCCTCAGTTTTCTCATCTGGAAAGTGGAGTCATCTGCCCTGCCACGTAGACCAGGGGGACTCTGAAGACACAGGGGCTCCCAGTGTGCCACCCTGTGGGCCAGGCACCCCAGCCCAGTCCTGCCTCAGAGGCCATCATGTCTTACAGTGGCAGACATGGGACAGAGGCTCTGGCCTAGCAAGTTTCGTCACCTTTCTGCCTCGGTTTCCCCATCTGTCCACCAGGAGGCCCTCCCAGCCCCACTGGTCGTGAGCAAATGGCCTCTTGCCGCAGCCAGTCACCCTGGAGGGCCCTGCGCTGCCCAGGGCACTGAGGACAGAGGCCCAGGGGCTCCGTCCGCCCGCGGCCGTCGGGGGTGGGGGCAGGGGGCGGGGCAAGCTCCTCCCGTGGGCAGTTGCTGCCACGTGCCCACGCTGGGCTGGGGGCCGGGCCAGGGGTCAGGAATGCCCCAGCCGCCCCCAGGGCTTCTGGCAGGTGGGGCACAAGTCAGTGCTTAAGCTGGGGGGGAGTCCTGGGGGACCCCGGGGCCGGGGAGCCCCGGGCACCTGTCCTGCTCTCATCGGTCCCCTCCAGCCTCAGCTTCTCTAGCCACCGCCCAGGGTCCGGCCGTGCCATGGCTGACCACTGTCATTCCACATCCTGAGACGCGCTGACGGATCCACCGGTCACCCCGGGCCTGGCTGCCACCCTCTGGCTGCCACGCACGCGTCCCTGCGCACGCTCACCCGCTCGCTGACTGCGTGGTACCTGCCGGCCAGCTCATCCCGCTCGGCCCCCGCCTGGGCCAGCAGCTCCTCCAGCCGGGACAGCTCCTCCTGCACGTGGGCCGAGGCGGCTGGCGGCTCCCGCAGCGCTGCAGGTGCAGCAGCAGGTCAGCCTGTGGCCAGGCCAGCCCCCAGCCCGGCTCCCTGTCCCACCGCCGGTCTGCCGATCTGCCAGGACTGACCCCGGGGACCCCGATCTGGGGCCGCACCTCAGCGGCGGGCCTCCCTTCCTCTCCTGTCGTGGACATCACGTTTCACCCTGGTACAGACCCACGCCCAGTGCGAGCCCCAAACCAGTTACAGTGGAGTGTGCGGGGTGGCCTGGACGCTGGGGATCCCACACCCCCGTCAGGCAGTGAGAACTGCTGACTCGGGGTAACCAGATCTCACCCCCAAGTAGTAAGTTGCGGTTCTAACCACACAGTGGGCTTTCTTTTTCCTTAACACATGCAGTGAGGTCCCCAGTTCCTCTAGGAGGCTGGAGAGCCCCTTATTTCAGAAAGGGGTCTCGGGACCCCCGCACGAGGGGGTCGGGGCACACTCTGGGGCCTGGCTGCCCTACTGGCTGGGTGGCCTCGGTGCAGGGACCCAGCCGTGCATGCAGCCGTGACAGACAGTGAGAGGGCACCGCGAGGGGGCCCTGGGGCTGGGGGAGCAGAGCTCTTGGGGGGAGGGGCTGCTTAGCATTCACACTTCCTGAGTGTCAACCTTTAGGATTTCATCATCTAATGAAAAATGAACATACATTAAATCAAGACTGGTGGGCACAAATGTGTGACAAACCAACGCGGGCTAGGTGGGCATGGTCCCTGTGGCCTAGTGGTGAGTGCGCCGTGGGGATGGGCTTCTGACCCCCAGGGACGATGCCGTGGGAAGGCGTGGTTCTCGCCCTAGCACAGGGGAGGATGATGGGCCGGGAGGGGCCGGCCCGGTCAGGGGACAGTGAGGGGCTTGGCTCCCTGAAGCTGGACTCTGACTGACGGCTCTGCAGCCCCCCTGGTGGCCCCCCTCACCTTGGGGCGGCTCCTCGCCCAGGCTGCCAGCCACAATCTCACGGATGCGGGCAGGCACGGGGATGGGTGAGGCCCGCCAGCCTCCCCCATGCACGGTCAGCGCCCGGTCTTCTCTGCTGGCCACGGGGCTCAGGACGGTGTCCTCCAGCCTCTGAAAAACACGCGCTCGGAGATGACTGGGGCTGGCAGGTCCCCGGACAGCTGCCACAGCCGCACGTGAACCCACTGGAGTTAGTGGGCCCTGCCACGGGGCTCCCATACGGTGGCAAAGTGCGCTGGAGAGGACTGGGCGAGGTCACCAAGGCCCGTGCCTTGGTTTCCCCACCTTTCAAGGTGGGAGGGCGCCCTGCCCATCCTGGCGCTGCTCTGAGCACAGGTGAGGAAAGAAGAGCTGGCCCGGAGAGCTCCGAGCCTAGGGCACCACCTCGTCCCACCCTTCAGCGCTGCTCCGTCTCTGCGGGGGCTGCACTGACCGTCGTGGTGGACCTCTCCGGGGACGCTGGGAGGCAGGCTCCTGCCTCTGGCCCTCCTGGAGCAGGCAGCCTCCCAGTTTTCACAGTGGGGTTGGCAGGGAGGGGTCCGAACCCCACCCAGCAGGCCCAGAGCCCCACGGCAGGAGGGGCTGACAACAGCAGAGGGACAACTGGTAGAATGTCCACCCACACACCCCCCTTTAGGACAAGGCCAGCCATGTGGGGCTTCCCCGTCCACTGGGAGGGGCACGCTGGAGGGGCACGTGTAGGCCCTGGGCCAGGGCAGGGTGGGAGCCGAGGGAGGGGCAGTGGGTGGATCGTGGGGACGGCCCTCCTTCCCAGCCGCCTAGAACAGCTGACCGTCTGTGGCAGAGGTCCAAATAGCCCCAGACGTGGGTAGGAGACCCTGGGTCTTGGGTACCCAGAGACTGGTCTTGGGGTCTTGGGCTCCAGTTGGCACTCTGCCTCGGCCCTGGGCATTCTTGGCTCCACGATGATGGCACAGCCGGGGGAGGGCCTGGGCTGCCCTCCAGAGCTCAGGGCCGGGGTGGGGCCTTTGTCGCCAGGTCTATTGTGGTGCTGACCGTGGGGGGAACTTGTGAACGCTGCAGGCCGAGGCAGCCACTTCTAAACCAGCGTGAACATCTGGACATGAGAGGACAGCGAGGCAAGATGGCCCAGCACTCAGGACAGTCCATAGCTGCCCACCGGCCCTGCTGCGTTTGCGATATGAGCTGTCAGGCAGTGAGTGAAATAGCAGAGGGTAACCAGACGCTTCCCAGGGGGAGCTGGAGATGGATGTCCCCTCCAGTGACTCTCTAGGGCGACAAACCAGGGTCCTCCCATCACCCCCGAAGGTCCCAGACTTCTCAAACTTATCACCATGTGCCCAGCCCCTCCCCACCCCTGGCTTCCCAAGACCCCCCACCCCGAGACTCCCCAGATCTCCCTCCCATCCCAGGGCCCTGGTGAGTGACCACCGCACAGCATCCTACCTGCCTGCCCTCCTCTGATCCCCCCAGCTCTCCCTGAAGACCCTCTCGAGGCCTAGACCCCTCCACCTGGCTCTGACCCTCAGGCCTGGGCCGGTAGGGATGGAGGGCTTCCTGGGTGCACCCCTGCTCCCCCCACCCCACTGCCCTGGTACAATCTCAGCCCGTCCCCTTTTCCTGATACCCCAGCCTGGTCTCTTCCGCTCACGTCTGCCTGGACACGAGGCCTGCCCCCCCGTCAGCACCAGAGTGGCCAGGGCCACCCCAAGACCCGGGCTCTTGCATGACACCTGGTGAAGCCACATTCCCATCCCAACAGGAGCTCGGTGCTGGGCAGACACTGAGCAAACTCTCGGGACTGAATTCCACTGCCCCCCACGGGGAGTGAGAACCCTGGCTCTGGTTCACCTGGACCCCAGTCCTCCTTCACCTGCGTGTAGAAATTTGAGTCCCCTGGGAGGTCTTGGGAGGCACCTTGACTACACTCCCCCTCGCCGACCCCCCTTCAGCATGACTTTGGGTGAGCAGCCTCCCTTGAGGGAAGGGGAGGAGGTGACTGCTGTCCCCTTTGGGCAGAGCCCGGAAGGGGGCGCCAAGACCACCAAGGCCCCTCCTGTCCTCCGGGGAGAACAGGCCGCGGGCAGGGGTTCAGCCGTCGTCCGCCCTGAACCCCCTTTGCACTCAGGGAAACCGAGGCCCAAGGGGGAGGCGAGAGCCACCTGAGGCCCGCGGGACTGTCAAGTCCAGGAAGGTCCCTGCCCCTCCGCCCTCCACACCACCCTCCCCGCCCCGCCCCGGGCGTCCGCGGCGCCACCCACTAACGGGAAAGCAGCAGCGGCACAAACTTGACTCATTCCTAACATTTACAGAGGGTCACTTATTAGCTGAGACATCCCAAGAGGAGCTGGGCGCGTAATGGGTTCCAGCTGCAGCTGGGTGCCTGCAATGGGCTGTGGCCCAGCTGGAGCCGAGGGAGGCAGCGGGGTCGGCACGGTGGGGGTGCGCGGAGGCCCTGGGGCTGCCCCCTCCCACCCCGCCCCACCTCCTGCCCTCCACTCCCCCCCCAGTAACGGGGGGCAGGGAGGGGCCCGGAGTGGGAGGGGCCTTCACCCAGGGCAGGTCACTGGGCCTGCACCAACCTCTGGCCTTGGGGCTTGGTTCCCTCCACGGCCGCCCAGGACCCCGCGATGCCACCTGCAGCCCTGTGGGCCAGGGGTGGCTCTGGGTCGGGTTTTCGGCCCAGCTTTGGGGGGGGGGTGCTGTCTGCCTGTGACCAGGCAGTGCACTGGGAGACTTCTAGAAGCCCCCCTCCCCCCCTCGCAGTCTCAGCTGGTCAGAGGGGACACCAGAGCTGGGCATCAGCTCCCCAAAAGACCTCAGACTCACAGTTGAGCCTGACCATGTCCCCTCCTCCTTTCTGTCCCCAGCGTCCTCCTCCCCATCAGCTCAACCAGCTTCTAAGGACCTCAGGGAGGTCACAGCCCCTGCGTGACACCCCCAGTGAGCCCTAGAGGGGGGCCTGTGTGTGCGGCCCAGTGGGGTGGCCATCCCCTCCTTCCTTGCCGCCGCCCTCGCCGTGTGGCCGTGTGGATAGGGAGGGTCTCCGCTCCAAGGACCCTGGGCTCCCCTCTGGGAGAGGTGGGCTGGGGCCCCTGCTCTGCCACTGCCGGTGCACTGCCTGACCCCAGGCATGCCACCTGCTGTCCCGAGCCGTGTGTTCTCATCTTTGAAAATGGGGCGTCCCAGGGACCCAGGGGCTGCGGCTCTGGGGACCCCGCCCTAACCCCGCAGGTTAGGACATGAGGCGGCTGGGAAGGGCGGGTGGACCTGTAAGACAGAAACGGAAACCACACGGAACAATCTCACTCTCTCCCTCACTGGTGACCACCATCGGACCCCCGAGTGGCCCCTCTGAATCCGCAGGCTGCTCAGGCACAGGTCCCCCGGGAGAGGAGCCCAGCGACTTCTGGAAGGAAGATGAGGCTGCCCCATACCCAGAGCCCAGTGAGGGAGACCCCTGGGTGGCCCGGGTGGGTCCAGATGAGCCCCGTGGCAAGGCAGGGAGGGGCGCCAGAAGCCCCGTTTAAAGTCACCCTGCGAGAGCGGGTGTCCAGCGGGGGACCTCAACTCAGCCAGCAGCGTGAGCGAGTCAGAATCCTGCGCCCCTCGGCAGAGTCGGGGGTTGCCCCCCGCCCCGCCCCCCCAGCAGCCTGGGTCTGGGGTGGCGGAACTCCAACAGTGCCACCGTGTGGCCGCAAGGGGCGCTGCAGGAGCTGTGCCTGCCCGGCGCTCGAGGAGGGAGGCTGGGGCTCCTGGGGGCGGCGGGAAGGCAGAGGCTCCCTTGCTCGTGGAGATGTGAGAAGGGCGTCACCTCTCAAGGTTTCCCAGCACCCGTTTTATACCTGTCATCTAGGCTGGAAGGGAGGCTCAGGGTCTTGCACTCACAGGCGGCAGTGTTAGGCCTGGGCCCCCGCCCGTGGGCCCCCAGCACCTTCCCAGTGGCCCGAGATCAGGACTCCGCAGGCACGCTGGCCTTGGGTCCCCTCCCTGAAGGCAGAGGAACGGGGGGCGGCCCAACCCTCGCTTCCTCCTCCGCCTCTGCCCCTCAGACCCTCCCCAGCACTCCCGCAGGGCCCCAGGCACCCCAGGGCCAGGCTTTGGTCCTCGCCAGGCGCGGGCACAGCTTGAAGAACACATCTGAGGACAGGGCCTCCAGCCAAGTCCAGCCACCGGACGTCTGCTTGCCATCCTTCCGTGGCTTGGCCGGCTGCAGAGAGGGCCCTGGGCCTGGGTGGCTGCCTGCCAGGCTCCATTTCCTTAGGAAAAAGAGCTTCTCTGTGCCTGGGGTAACCCCTGGCCCCCACCATGCTGTATCTCAGCACCGCCCAGTTTCAGATCTCTGTGCATCCGTTGAGCACTCTGGGGCCCTGGGCGTCACCCCAGGAGCCGGGTCAGGCTTCTGTGGGTGGTAGTTTGGGCCTCAACTAACAATAAAGGGGCGATCTGGGCCAGGCATGAAAGCAGGCACTGGGGATGGGGGGACAATTTCTCGTTCATCCCTGCGTCCCCACCCCGGCACCATCAGCACTTGGCACGCAAGCAGGCTCAGACACAGGTCACTACCAGAGGGACCGAAAACCAAGTCCAAGGTATGAATCACCAGCTGAAAAATGACTCATGTCAAGGGATGACAGAAGGGCAGCATCCTGTCCGTCTTGTTTGCTACTGTGTCCTCTGTGCCCACATGGACTTCCGGGAGGAGGTGGCCGTTGAGTTGGACCTTGAAGGATAAATAAGAGTCCAGCAGCCAGAGGGGACAGAGGTCAGGCATCCAGGTGGAGAGACCAGAGGAGGAGAGGCAGCGGGGTGGGTGTCCAGTCTGTGCGGGGCTGGGGAGTAGGGTGCACGGGAGCCATGAGGCGGGAGAGGTAACTGAAGGCCTTTAACATCCCCGTGAGGATGGTGGCGCCCCGTCTTCACTTCTGAACGAGGAAGGGAGACATGTCCCATCTGATTAGCAGTGACCCTGGCTGCCGTCCACACAGGGCTTGGCCACACCCTGGCACTCTCAAACCATCCCGGCTCCTGTCCCGAGGGTGGGCCCTCACTCACCCAGGCTCTGGGGAGCCCCCCAGACCACCTGTCTCACCCTCGTACAGATGGGGACCCTGAGGCAGACAGTCAGT